TATTGGCGGATGACAATTCTGATGGTCTTGATATCTGCACTTGCTCGAAAAAACATTACACTGCGAAATTGGAAATTGGTGCACTTTCCATTTTACACTGCGAAATTGGAAATTGGTGCACTTTCCATTTTACACTAGAGTGATTCATTCGATTCTCTCTCTCCCCTTTTTCTACCGCATTTTTCACTTTTTCCCTTCAACAGTTGCACGATATGACTAATTACAATCTTCTTGGCGCGAAGAAAATCCCGCACGTTCAAGTATCTTGGAAGTCTGCCGTGACACTAGGTTTGTTTGTTTTTTGAAATGTAAATTTATGGTTTGATTAAGATGAGAGTTTGGCGGGTGCAGCTCTGCAAGTCTCGTATTGCCCTGTACCAGGATGCCTTGGTTGGGGAAACATTCTTCGACACCGGAATGCTTTTCATCGCACGGAGGAAGCTTGTCCAGTGGCAGCACACATGAGGAAAATGCGCCATACCATGGTACATTTTTGGTAAATTTTCTGTACTTGTAATGAAAAATTTAGGCACCGAACGTTCAAGTTCAGCGCGAAGCTCCGGCACCGGTTCCGCTGTCAGCTCAGCTGCCAGCTTGGCTGACGGCTCGGCCGGCAGAACAGCTTCCAGCTCCACTGTCAGCACAACTGCCACCCCCATCGACAGCTCCCCAGCTTTCTCCGCAGCCTGCACCGATTCCTGAACCATGGTCGTTGCCAACCCTCGCTCAAGTCTACCCATGTCCGTTGCCTCTGTAATTGATCTACCTCAAAGTCTTTAATAAATTTTACAACTTTAAAAAAACACTTGGAAACGCAATGTTTCGACTGAAACTGTATTTAGGGGCAGGGAAGGGTTGGAAATGGTTTTGGGGCTGAAAATGTTTTTGGGACTGAAAATGGATATAGATAGAGGCTGAAAATGGATAGGGCTGAAAAAGTTAGTAGAAAAACAAAAATAATACGAAAAGAATGAGAGGTTTAGAGAAATGTTGCGCGGCGATGGCGCGGAGGTGGCGAGAGCAAACAGTGCTCCCCTCCCGAGCGCTCGTATAAGTATGCCCCCTGCTCCCTTGGTCTAACTTACACGTTTAGCGCACCCGGTAGGAGCGTCGACCAGCGAGCGGGCGCCCGCGGGTTCGACACCCAACCGGGGTTGACAAAAATTACACTAGGTTCGGGGAGGGGGAGCAGCGCTCGTGGCTACGGTAGTGAAAGTTCGGCCACGGCCGTGGGAAAGTTCGGCCACGGCAGGGTGAAAGTTCGGCCACGGGACCGTGGGAAACTCACGAGGCCACGCCCCCTACAGGCCACGCCCCCTACAGGCTCCGCCCACTGACTACACACTCGAGGCTCCAAACTACAGAGTGGTGGGTACAAACTACAAAAGAGTGCGTTATAAGCTTCCATACTTCTCTTGGACTGATCACAAAATGTATTTGAAGCACTTTAGATGACAACTGGTCTCTTGCCGATTGCCGAAAAGCCGATTTTTAGTTTTATCGAGGTAGTTCGGACAGTTTTCCAGGTATCATCACGAAAATCACCAAACATACGTAACTTTGTGCCCTGAATCCGATTTTGAAGTCGCCGGGTCGTAAAAATTTTCGAGCGCCACGTGGCAGTGCCAAACGGGGGTGGCCTTATAAACTTGCACCGCACTGTATACTGATAAAGGTGAGCTAACAGCTGGTTCTTCGTTTACAGTCTAATTTCAGGTACCGAGTTTATGGGAAAGCAGTTTCGAACACTATGTAATGATCTGGGGATTCTCCACACAAAATAACTATAGTACAAAGGTCCTGGGAATGAGAAAACCATGCGATGAAAAATAAGTATACATAAGCTTTTGGAATTTCCGAGGCGCCCACATCTTTCGAATGGTTGTTGATGGTACTGCTATGTTCAACGGACTATGTTTCATTAGTTTGTAACAATTTGGGTCCCTCGGAATACCTCCGTCGGATTCCTTCTCCAAAAACCTGACAGTTGACATTGGATATAACTTATTCCCAATTCAGCCCTTAATTAGAACGTATTTTCGTTAAATCGGCAGTTGTGTGTGTGAACACGGTCACGTCCGTTGGTACTGTTTGAAGAAAAGGGGGGTCGTGAATCGCTTCACTCCCTCTCTCCTCCTCTCCTTGGCTTCCACCAGGCAGCCCCTCTTTTCCCTTATTTTCTTTCTTTTTTTTGTTTTCCCTGGATTTCCACCCGGAAATCCCCCTATTCTTTTATTTTCTTTAATTTCTGTTTTATTCCACTCAATATGGTGAGTTGTGCCTATTTTCCATTGCAATCATCACTTTCATCCAATTCTCACCAAAAAACGACGTTGAATGCATCCTAAGAGATAAGAAAAATTCAATAATTTTGAAATTGATATGTTTGAAGATAGACAAAATTTATGAGAATCAAATCCTATTCGGTTTTGTCAGATCTACCTTATTTTGGAGAAGTGAGAAGTGTCACGGTTGTTACTCAAACCGTCAGTTTATTTTGATGATGGAACCGAGGTCAAAAAAACTCAGTCTTTTCCTGAATGTCTCAGTAGTATTCAAAAAAAATTTTGACGTCCAACGAATCAGTCTCCGGCAAGCTACGAACCGAAAACCAATTCAACAATCACAATAATACAGTGCGCGTCATAAAGATAGGACACCCCCTAAAATGACGTCCTAGAGAGAACTGAACATTTTAGAGAAAAACTGTAAATGCCATTCGATTCAGCATACAAAATAACCTACAAAACCAATTTTTTAGATTCCTACCTCGAAAATGAAAGCTACAGCACTAAAAAGTCTTAAAATCGGGCGCGTCATAAAGATAGGACACCCCCCAAAAATAAAGGGATTTTTCAACTTTTTGTGCTTTGTTCAGATAATTTTCAGGTTTTTGGGTTGTATTATTAAAGTTTCATTATTCTTTTGTGTTTTTATTGAGTTTCTAACAAAACAAAACGATCCAATTATGCACAAATTATAGTGTTGTTCTGATAGATGTTAAGGGCTTCCGGACAAAATTCAAAATCTTAGAAACATTTTTGTTTTAAAACGTTTTATTGAGCAGGCACTGGGAAGTCAGTGGTCCTGCGGTCGTAGAGTGACGTATGTTTGCTTGGGAACACTTTTGCGAACTCGTTCTCGCTATCTCTTCCCAATTTCTCTATTTGCGCAGTGTTTGGAAACTTTTCGACCCGTTGATTTCATAACCGTTTATTGATTGGGCATTGGTTTTGGGCAGACTTGCCAAATCCCGGGCCGGGCCAGCAAATCGTCGGCCCGGCCCGGCCCGGTCGGCCCGGAAGTTAGACCTCAAAAAAAATATGCAAAAAAAATATGAAGGAAGAGGAAAACGCGTGCGGCAAAATTGCTAAAATGGCGTGCCAGAGTTGCAATCAATCGCTCCGCCCACTCTTGAGAAAATTTTCGTAATTTTTGTGAAAATTTTGCTACTTTAAACAGCAATTTCTATTTTTTAACAGGTTTTTTTATGCTATAAAAATTGCCTTTTTAAGTCTATAAAATTTTAATTCTATAAAATTATGTTCGTTTCGAAGTTCTAGTTCGCTTTGAATTTTTAGGTGCATCCTCCCGGGCCGGGCCGGAAAATTTCCAATTTTGGCCCGGCCCGGCCCGGCCCGTTGCAAGTCTGGTTTTGGGGATCACATTATTACAGGCAAGGGGCAAATTATACATCACAATGTCCAAAGGGTAATGTAGTTCCATCTGGGAGAATTCTTGCGAATATAAAAAGGATTGGTACAGAGTCATTGCACAACATTGCTCACAATTTTCTGTTGAGTTCCATTTTCGCAACTGAGACAGTTCGCATTTGGTTGTGAATTGGAACAGTTGCGAGAAGATTTGAGATTTTGCATTTTTCAATTTTCAATTGTCGATATTCAGATAACATTCAAGATGTACCCGCGCGCGTTGGTTCCAAGTGCCCTCAACGGATCCGCCGATGCCGTCCGCGCGGCAATCGACGTCCTCGCCGATGATGAGGCCGTTCTCGACGACGGCCAAATGGTCTTGACCGCCTTGACCATCGTGCCCCAACGGTTAGTTTCACCCCGCTTTTTCCTTGTTTCATGTCCTATTTTTCAGAGCCGGCGAGTATCGGTTCAACGAAAAGTTCTCAATGAGAGACAAGCTGCGGCTCACGAAAAACATGGAGATCAAAGGCGACGAAGTGCTCGTCGAGGACAAGGGAGGCGTCTACGTCGTCTCCCTTTTAACAGTCATTCGGCTCCCCTCGTAAGTTTTCCACTCAATCTATTCGAGCTCTAAACGATCACTTTTCAGGCTGCTAGATTTGACAAGGGAGCGACAGCGACGGAAGGAGCTTACAAAGAGCGAGCGGAAGATGAAAAAGGAGCTGATCAAGCGGGAAGCGGAGAAGAAAAAGTCCGAAAAAGAGGAACGAGTTCGATCACCGTCTCTTCCATACTAATTGTTTTGAAATATGCTCCCTAATAAACTGTTTTTTTATTCAGCCAGCCTTTTTGCAATTTCTGCAACAGTAAAAGGGGCACTCCCCCAAACCTCACTTTTTCGTGTGTCAGACGTTCTGCTTCATGCTCACCGACTACCTAAACTTCCTAAGCCCGTCGACGGGCCTGATGACGTCGTGGTGCGCATCGAAAGAGCCGTCGCACCTCATCAAAATCTTTTTCTGGACCACACCCTACTTCTCCTACCTATTAGGTTGTTCGGAAAGTTCCAGTCATTTTTCATAGTATGTTTTTGAAGATTGTTTTTTCTATCGGGAAGCAAGCGACTCAGTTGTCGTTTTATCAGTATGTTGGTAGGGTATTGAAGTGTTAACACAGCAACGGATATCATTCTCGTGTTCCCGAGGAGTGAGATATGCCGAATGTTTTCGTCTGTAACAACTTACATTTCCGAAATGTAATCTTATTTCTATTTATATCTGACCTGAAAATGCCGACATTGATCGCCGTTTCACGGAGGTTTTCAACAAAGATGCACCCACTCGAACTACCATTAGCACTTGGTTTCATCGATTCGAAAAAGGAGAAATTTCGATGGATGATCATCCACGTTCAGGAAGACCGATATCGTTAGACTTGGAAGCATTGGAAAGCGAGATTGAGAGGGATCCTTTTCAATCCGTCCGTGAACTATAAAGGACACTTGGGGCGAGCCTATCATCAATTAGTCATGGACTCGAAGCAATTGGAAAAGTCAAAAAACTCGGAAGATATGTTCCGCATGTTTTGACTCAACACAACTTGGATACACGTGTGGATACCTGCTTGAATCTTCTCACCCCGCATCGCACACATGGATGGTCTGATCAAATCATTATGGGAGACGAGAAATGGGTTATGTATGATAGCAGTGAGCGACGTGCCGAGTGGGTTGACGAAGACGCTCAGCCAGCTGACGGGCCAAAACATGAAATACACGAAAAAAGGCAATGTTATCAATATGATGGCCTGTCCGTGGAGTTGAATATTGGGAGCTGCTTGATGACGGCGTCACTATTACGACCGATGTCTACACTGGTCAGCTGAGAAAACTCAGACTCCATGTGGATCTCCATTGGGGGAAAAATGCGAAAGTTTACTTTCTGCATGATAACGCTCATCCCCATGTTGACAGAAAGGCCAAAGCTGAACTCGCTGGATACGGCTGGCCAATCTTGTCTCACCCACCGTACAGCCCAGACCTGGCCCCCTCTGATTACCATCTCTTCAGTCACCTCCAACGCCATCTCAGTAGAAAAAAGTTCAACTCAAGACAAGATGTCAAAATCTAGTTGGCTTCATTTTTCGACTCCCAGCCGCAGGAGTTCCGGAAGGATGGTATCCACAAGTTGGTGACACGTTGGCAGACAGTCATCGAAAAACATGGGCAATATATCTAATTAATCGGATAACTCTTTGACTTGTTTCACAATAAATTTTTCTGAACCCAAAAATGACTGGAACTTTCCGAACAACCTAATACAATATCTGTTCCCATTTCTGATGGCCATTCTCAGACTGGTCCCGATTCACTTTTCAACAAACGCTCACAAGGTATTTTCGAGTCGTTCGATGACGTTATTAAATGAATGACATTTCAGATGAACATTTTTCAGATTCCGCTAATCTCTGGTTTTCTTTTAGATTTTGGTATTCCCTGGTACTGTTTGCGTTTTGCCAACCGACCCTTCCGTTTGCATGGTATCTTTCCGTGCTGGGTCGTAGAGTGACGTATGTTTGCTTGGGAACACTTTAGCGAACTCGTTCTCGCTATCTCTCCCCAACTTCTCTATTTGCGCAGTGTTTGGAAACTTTTCGACCCGTTGATTTCATAACCGTTTATTGATTGGGCATTGGTTTTGGATCACATTATTACAGGCAAGGGGCAATTATACATCACAATATCCGGTAATGTAGTTCCATCTGGGAGAATTCTAAAAAGTGAAGCGGAACTTTTTTGCAGTGCTTTTGAAATAGACTTTGGAATTCCTATCCCGACGGGCTGACTGCTGTGGAACTTCAACCGAACTTCTTTGTCCAGTCAATTGCAACACCTCCTGAACCATTGCCTCCATCCGCTCCATTGTCACAATCTTGGCTGCCTCGGAGTTCAGCGTGATTCCTTTCGACTTGATTTTGGTCTGAAAGCTGAGATTTATTCAGTTTCAGAGTTTTACAATTACCTGTTCCTCTCCATTGGGCAGCAATTCTTTGTATCCATACGATTTTCCAGCGGTCGCTACGAATTTCGTCATGGTTCCTTTCAGTTCACTCGTGACTTGTCCCAAAAACGGGCCCATCTCATCTTCCAACGGATCCTTTGTGCAACTCTGGACTTTGTACATTACAGAATCGGTGTCTGAAAAATTTGTTCTATTTGGATTCAAAGATTAAAAATTTACCAGTGTACAGAATCCTTTCAGGTCCGACCTTCTCCATTAATCGATACAAGTGCAGTCTCCCGTACGATGGGACGTGGGCTGCAATGTGCATTGCTCCAGTTGTGAGACTTTTCAGCTTGGGCGCTGTGGTGTCGGTGATATCTCGACAACGGATGGAGCTATCGAGAAGCATCCAAGAGCAAAAATGATCAGAAAAATGTGCTCCGTTCATTTAAATACATATCCAAAAGATTTAGAAGTCATTTGAGGATTCAGATGACACCGAAAAAAAATTGTCTAAAATATGACTTGATGTATATCAAATGAATGACGAACATTGTATGTCGTCACAAGGAGCTGCCTATTATCATTGAACATACATGCAATACTTGTAAAAAAGGGGTGACTCAGGTATTACGGTGTGAAGACCACAGGATCGAGCTTTCTTTCTCTCAAACTCACTCTAGAATTCTTTCCTCAACCGTCCGGCCAGAATCCTTCTTTCTTTCGTCCGCTTCGCTTTGGGTTTGAACCGTTTACACACTTCCGGAGTCGCCACGTCCTTCAGTCAGGTCTGAAAGTCGTCACGATCAGTGTCTAACCGAGGCAAATTTCTTTGCACTCGGCGGGGCTCGAACCTGCGGTCTTCGGATTGCTAAGCACAAGCTTAACCGCCTACACCACCCTGGCCACGCGGCTCAATCACCCATGGGGCGTATATATAATGGCGACGGGCGCCGTTGGGCGCTGTGGTGTCGGTGATATCTCGACAACGGATGGAGCTATCGAGAAGCATCCAAGAGCAAAAATGATCCGAAAAATGTGCTTCGTTCAGCTAAATACATATCAAAAAGATTCAGAAGTCATTTGAGGATTCAGATAACATCGAAAAAAAATTTTCCAAAATACGACTTGATCAAATGAAAGACGAAAACACGAAGATTCAAACTAACGTCGTCAATATTAAATTGTTTTGTCCTCTGCCCTCAAATAACGATTAATCTCTGAAACTATAAGAAATTGTCAAATAGTCAAACTTTTTCCACCATTACCACTTGATTCCGAGGGTAACAATTCGAAAGCATTACATGTAAGAAGCCTACAAAGTTTTGGCCCAGTCAGAATATTGCAAGTCGGTCAAAAATGGGGGCATGCCTTCATAAAGTTTGACATGGTCTTTTGCCCAGATGTGTTATTTATTATCTTGACAACAAAAAATTCCGTTTTCAGTACCTGTACCAGCCAAGACCGCAGTCCTTCTTCGACTGGAATGACACCCGCGCCCGGCTCTTCTTCTAATCCTACTACTTTTCTTGTTCTGCTTTTTCTGACTTATCCATCATCCTCTAGCTGTATCATTCACCAAACTGCTTCCTACACCAGACAGTTCAGCTGTAGCTTCTGTACTTACACACTGCTTTTGTATTGTTTATATTATATTGTCCCAAACACCTTTTACTAGTAGTTTGAATACTAACGGTTGCTGGAAAGAAACCGAGAAAGAAGCAGAACTCCTTTTTGAATCGAAACGTGTCGTTCTTTTCCGCAAACCATCATAAAACATTCGAATAAATCGGCTGTTTTTCAGTTTTAGCGGCTCTCATTAGAGTCATATTGCCCGAACATCTCAATCAATTCGCGAGTATAAAAGGAGTGGTGGTTCTCTTCGTAAGCAGCATCGGCTCTATTCAGCTCTCCTTCTCGTCTTGCCTGGTCGCCAACCCAGTCGACCGTCAGGATATTTTAATGCAAATGCGCTGCGTTCAAATCCGGTGCTAATTAAAAACAGAAAGTTTGCAAAAAACTAGGCCCGGAGATCGCAAAAATAGAGATTCATCAACAGAGCGCATTTACTTCGAAACTTCTCGGTGGTGAAAAAAATGAGAGCAATGCAGCAAAGTAACGTTTCCATTTCAGAACCAACTAAGACCATGCCAACCTACTACCCACCGGGACAGCTTCTCCGCAAAGAACCAGAACCGCCACATGTCCCAACACCACGCCCAAACGTTGGAACGTGATGGAATAAATCATTGAAAATTACGCTTTCTTTTTTATCTTTCTTGTTGTCTATCACCTTCTGCCTTTTGCATGAGTAGCTCAGGAAACGATATTGAAGAGAAAGAACGAGAAGTCAGTTGATTAGATGACTATACTGCCGCGAGGTTCACTTCCGGACAGATATACACTCCGTCGGTTTCCAACAGAAATGAGTCGTTTCCATGGAGAACCTCGTTTTCTGCTACGTCTTCGTCTCAATCTAAATGGAGACGAAATGTTCACCTACCGATATTTGAAAGAATGTGCTCGTTTCCATTTAGACAAACTTGTTGAGTTGTGCTCATCTCATTTTTTGTAGCGGTTTTCTTTTTCCAGAAGAATGCGCCCATGTGGCTCCCCGCATCCGTGATGTGTTATCACATTTGCATCAAAATTACTTTCACCTGCAATCAGATATTGAAACACGGACTCATTCGGTACAACCGGCAACTTTACACCAGAATTATCTATGTACCTCTTTTCATTTGTCTAAGCGAAATCTTGTTGTTTTTCGAAATTCTCACATCTCATCGCATAACCCGATTTGAGAATGATTTTGTATGTCTGCCACATAAAGAGGATTAAATTGAGCCAACCCTCGTTGAGCTAGCACCTAAAAATCCGCGCATCCGTGCCGAGTTTCCTCTTGTTTCCTATTCATGGGAAGACCCTACAAACCGAGAAAACTTATCAAGAATAAGAAAAGCTCTGCGAAGCCGTCTTCAAACCGCAAAAATCTCGGGCCGCATGTTATGGTGAGTTCAACATTTTATTATTTTTCTGAAATCAAACTTTTCTAGACACAGCTTGAGAACGCTCGCAAAATTTGCATCAAAATGATACAAGAAGCGGAAAATGTTTGGAAAACCTTAATGTGATATTGAATATTTATTGTTTTGTAGTTGAAAGACGTCGACAATGAAGTTCAACTCTTCCTTATCATGAGTCGTCTTCATCAGTACGGTTCCAAGGAATGGTCAGAGAAATTTCAAGTCAAGATAAGGAAAAGCTGGGCTGGATTTTCGAAATCTCTCGCTAAGTGCAATGAAGAGTTCAAAAGACAAATCGAGATACTAGACATGACATAATGCACATGAATAAAGAGTTTTATTGGGTGCTCACTGATTTTCCAAAGTTCTTTTCCGAATGCGGACAAAGATATGCATTTATTTTACCCGGTCGCAGTCCGCTAGGTCTGATACTGACCGAAAAAGAACGTTTGCAGGCTCTCACAAATGTTGTGCCTTTTCTTCAATATCGCTTCCTTAGTTACTCATGCGAAAGGCGGAAGGTGATAGAAAACAAGAAAGATAAAAAATAAAGTATTACTTTCAATGATTTATTTCATCACACGCCAAAGTCCTTAGTCCTTTGGGTGTGGGGTTGGGACATTTGGCGGTTCTGGTTCTTAGCAGAGAAGTTGTCCCGGTGGGTAGTTGGTTGGCATGATCGAGGTTGGTTCTGAAATTGGGCATGTTACTTTGCTGTAATTGCTCTCATTTTATTCACCATTGGGGCATTTTAAAGTAAATGCGCTCTGTTGATGAATCTCTACTTTTCTAAAGCGTTTTTAATTATGTTTTCTCCGATTTACCGTCGTCAATTTTCGCAAATGGATTTGATCGCTGAAGGACGTCGAATTTCCCTTATTTCCCTAATTGAATTAAGTGTATAATTTGTAACTTTCATAGACTTTATTGAACATTTATTTGAAAAACAAGGCAGAGGAAGGAAGAGGACGGTCCCTAATTGCGCATGATTCGCGCATTCGCTCAGTTTCCGCGGCTCATCATAACTTGTAAACTGATATACTTGTCGGCCGATTCCCCGCTTTTTTACGACTGTATACAGTTTTTGCTCCGACCATCTGGCAACTTGTCGGTTTCTCAAAGGCAACGTCCGTCTGCCTTCAAAGTATAAACAATTCCGAGCGGCGACGGAGAACTGTTATTCGCCATCCCAGCGGGCTTCTCGAAATGCCCGTTACCGTTCAGCGCCTGATTGTGGGGTGTATTCTGCTGAAACACCACCCCCAAGGCCTTCCGCTTCCGTCGCTTTTTGAAGAATTAACGTGAGTTTGAATGGTCAGCTCAGGCGCACAATCGATATTTGTTTGCAGTTTCCACTGCCGCGGCAACGTCCATCTCTCTGTCCCCAGTCTTGAATACGATCTCCAGATGAATGACGATCAGTGGTTTATCAAGGTTAGTTCAAAACAGAAGCTAAGTTTAAAAGCGGAAATACGTACATAATCCGTGTTTAGGACTGGGGAAACACTTTTGATGCTCTCGGAAATGTGCAGGAACATCACATGATTAACCCGGACCTGGGCGTTCTCAAAAACATCTTCTCGACGTTGGTAAAGTTCCGCATAATCGTATATGGAGTTATGTCTGACCGTGAGTTTGGTTTGAGGATCCGATAAATCAGTCTCAACGTTTGTTTGTTGCAGGTTCTCGCACTCTCATCGACGATGCCATTGGAGTTCTGCTGATTCTTACCTTCAACGCTCCTCCGCTTCACTTCGCGCCCAACTTCAACTTCCTGGTCCTTCCCCCGTCCATCCCCGTCCTCCATCCGTCGGCTTCCGGATCGCGAAACCCTCCAGCCAATAGACCAACGAATAAGTAGCCTACGAAATTTCATCTTCTGTTCTTATACTTGTTATCAACGTCTTTTGATTATAATGCACACTCCCAGAATTATTCCCTCTCACTTTACCTTCTGTTTCACAATGCAGTGTCACAAAGCAGTGTATAAGTACAGAAGCTAGAGCTGAACTGTCTGGTGTAGGATGCAGTTTGGTCAATGATACAGCTCGAAGATAATGGATACGTCAGAAAAAGCAGAACAGGAAAAGTAGTAGGATTAGAAGAAGAGCTGGGCGGGGCGCGGGTGTCATTCTAGTCGAAGAAGGACTGCGGTCTTGGCTGGTACAGGTACCGGTTTTGGCTGGTACAGGTACCGGTCTTGGCTGGTACAGGTACCGGTCTAGGCTGGTACAGGTACCGATCTTGGCTGGTACAGGTACCGATCTTGGCTGGTACAGGTACTCATTCATTTGATATACATCAAGTCATATTTTGGACAATCATCTGAATCCTCAAATGACTTCTAAATCTTTTGGATATGTATTTAGATGAACGGAGCACATTTTTCTGATCATTTTTGCTCTTGGATGCTTCTCGATAGCTCCATCCGTTGTCGAGATATCATCGGCACCACAGCGCCCAACGGCGTCCGTCGCCATTATATATACGCCCCATGGGTGATTGAGCCGCGTGGCCAGGGTGGTGTAGGCGGTTAAGCTTGTGCTTAGCAATCCGAAGACCGCAGGTTCGAGCCCCGCCGAGTGCAAAGAAATTTGCCTCGGTTAGACACTGATCGTGACGACTTTCAGACCTGACTGAAGGACGTGGCGACTCCGAAAGTGTGTAAACGGTTCAAACCCAAAGCGAAGCGGACGAAAGAAAGAAGGATTCTGGCCGGACGGTTGAGGAAAGAATTCTAGAGTGAGTTTGAGAGAAAGAAAGCTCGATCCTGTGGTCTTCACACCATAATACCTGAGTCACCCCTTTTTTACAAGTATTGCATGCATGTAAGTTTTTAAAAGGCAATGTCTGAGAACCTCGAAATTCGTTGATTCAACCAGGTCACTAAAAATTCAGAATGCTTCAATTTGTCCCATATTATACCGAATGGGTACTTACATAACAGTAAAACATCAGACAAGTTTTGGTCCGGCTCCGTGGTCCCTAGTCCGATCACGGTCACAAAATAGGTCAAAACTGTAACTATTTTCAAAAAAATGTTATTGTCTCAGACTCAACGCCATTCGGTTTCTCGCATCTTTTTAAGCATTTTTCATGTTGGCATCAAAAATTTAGCACCCCTCCTTCATGGAGAAAAAAATTGTTTGTGACATTGTTCAAAAAAATTTTCAGTTTTCTGCTCGTTCTGAAAAATTTTAACACTACATAGCCATGATTTTAAGAAATTTGTCTCGGTTAGACACTGATCGTGACGACTTTCAGACCTGACTGAAGGACGTGGCGACTCCGGAAGTGTGTAAACGATTCAAACCCAATGGGAAGCGGACGAAAGAAAGAAGGATTGTCGTTGGAAGGTTGATGAAAGAATTCTAGAGTGATTTTGAGAAAAAGAAAGCTCGATCCTGTGGTCTTCACACCGTAATACCTGAGTCACCCCTTTTTACAAGTATTGCATGCATGTAAGTTTAAAAAAGCATTCAATACTTGTAAACAAAATTCATAAATTCAGGTGGAAAGGAATATGACTCGGACGATTCGGAAATCTCGGATACTATGGACGAGAAAGAGAAAAAGACGTGAGAATTTCAGACAGTCAGAAAGTTTCTAATCACATTCCGTTTGCAGAGAAAGTTCAAAGAGTGCATGGAGTCGATCAAGACTATGGACAAGGACTACGCACATATCAAAACAATTCTAAAGATTGGAAACGAGACGGTTGAGGAGAAAGAAGCAAGACGACGGGCTAACCTAGTCAAGTCGGCCTTCCACGTGGAACATGACGGAAATAAGAATTTCAAGCTTAACGACACCTTGAAAATGACTATTTTTGATTTGTAGATCTTTTTATACAGTTCAATTGTATTAAATTGAATGTACTGTTGCTCTCCTTGATAACTTCTCGAATAGAGCCACTCACTCCATCATGCCCCTTGATTTTCCGGTGATATTCCTCCCGAACGTCCTCTACCTTCCTGTCTGCCCTCACTTTTTAGGAGCCATCGATGGTCGTCAGTACTTTTCTTCTGCTTGTGTGAACAGTGCCCATTAGAGCGCCCAAAGAACGATAAATTGTGAGTTTTTCCCAAGAATCAGATGAGTTAAGGAGCAATAGGTATATATCTTCGAAGTGGGATCGATCAATAAACGCATTGAGAAACTAATTTTGTAAGCCTCTTTTTATGAAGACACAAACAGATCTTCCTTGAAAACGCCTAAAGACGAAGCGATACCGTATTCACAGGGCGTTGTTGATGTTCCCTCTTGGAAAACGGACCAAAATACCTAATTTCAAAAAGTTTCATTCAAGGTCGCCAGGTGGATGTATGTTTTGAATCATTGAGCGCATAGTTTCTTCTTTCTTTTGACAGAGACGACGGGCCAGCGGCGCCGCGGTACCACCCGGCACGCACTGTACGATCGCAGCTGTGCCAAAACCAATCAATAATTTCGAAATCTCGCAGAAGTCTTCAAATTCAATCGATTTATTTCACAAGCGCTCACAAGTAATTAGTTAATTGGCGGAATGAGTGGAGGAAGTTGAACCAGACCACGCAGATGTTGGATTGTCAGAAATGCCATTCGGATGACCGCCGCGTCGATGTCGTTTGCCGGTCGGTCGGCCAGCTCGAGGATGTCCTCCAGGCACGCGATCTGATGCCTTTCTTGCAGGAGACGAGTCGGATGGACGTAGCGGGCATCCTGAAATCGTCTGAATACGCCGACAAACAACTATAGTCGCTCACCTGGCTCTCCAGGAAACGGCGGCTCATCCCGAGGACCTGCTCGCAGAAAGCCTGAAAAAAATTATGAATTTCCTAAACTATGCTCAAACGTACTTTCTGAACAGGAGAGAGATTGGAACGGAGACGGGGACGGGGACGTTGCCGTTCGAATTCGGTTCGGCGACGAATGGTTGCCATCTGAAATAATAAAATCGCAAGGGGATAGAAGAGGAAAGCACAAAAGTGTTAGGCGAGAAGGAGGGCGCGCGTGGGGTCCGCGATAGTAGGCATGTGTTCTCAACACGCAATAATCCAAAGTCACAAAACGAGCTTTTCTACTGAACGGAAAACAAAATGAAGTTAAGAAACAGTGCCACGTGTCCGGCGGTGTGAAACATCGAACAATAACGATCGAATGAGCTCGAATAACAGCAGACAGACAAAAAACGAGTCGATTTGCGAAAGAAGATAAATTGATCGGTTGGAGAGCGCGGGCGGCCTGGCACTCATTCGGGTGACTGTGGTTGTGACTGCTCCCCATTACCGTCGACGGCCCTCCATGGATGACTCATGTCCATCGTCGAAAATCACGAGATAACGCGCATTGTCCACCAGTTGTGAAACATTACTGTCGGGAATTTTCGTAATGTAACAACTTTCCACGGGATTTTGGGATCTGCAAGTGTAAAGATTGAAATACAGTTTTCTGTTGACTTCACAAAAAGGAAAGAAGAAATCCAGAAGAAGGACTTTAGGAATTGCTGAAAATAGATATCCACAAATGCACGGTGTCTTGTAACGTCACATTGGAGTTGGAGTTGAATAAGGGCCTTTTAAAACGGTCCCAGTCTACTTTATGTTCCCGTACAGTCCATTCCCTTTTGTTTCGCCAGTCCCTCTGGCCGGCTTTTCATCACTTTTCACATTTTCTTTTTTGCTTTATTGTTCAATTCAACTTTTTCGACACTGTCCAGCTAGGCCTCTCTGAATTCGATCACAGTCAACAACATAACGCCAGATGTTTATTCTGACGAATCCAATATCTATAGATTTCTGTGAGTCAGAAAAGGAAAGTGTGAAACAAAACAAAACTTTGGAAAGGGAAGGAAGACGTGCATTTGCTCACGATGGAGACCGACAGGCGGCGCGGTCCCCTTTGAGAGGAACCTGGAGTGATAAAAGTGAAATTATACGGTGCGAACCCTTCCATATGTACACTTTATCACTCCATTTATCACTCTTTTAGTTGCTCTCTTTCCCTTTCAAATGGTTCATTTTCTATGCTCTTACCGAATTCAAATTTCAGACCACCTTCGAAGTATGGAACGTGTACGCAGAGTTCCAGTGATTGCAAACATAAGCGACGATGTGCTGGTCAGTTTTAGAACAGTCACGGAAGAAACTACTAAAACATTTCTATTGTATTTTAGATGATCATCCTCGCTCAGAAGATAGCCTACGAATTCATCCTTGATAAACTGGTAAGAAAACATCTTCAAAAAAGATTGGCAGCAGTTGCTTTGCTTCTTTAGGAACATGAGCCCAACGGACCGCAATCCCTTCTTTACGCCAGCTTTCTCTTCATTCGCACCTTCTACGATCGGATCTACGTCTTGGGACTCCGTCCGCGAAACCCCGTTGAACAAGAGGAGATTCTGCAGCTTATTAACGCCTTGGAAATGTACTTCGAGATGAACAACCACCAGAACATGCAAATGTTGGTCAACTGGGCTCAAGGAGAAATCGATATTTTTCTCAACTAATTATTGTGATTGTCACACATGTTTTTATTGTTAATAAAAAATATTCCAAGAAACCGAATTTCGCAGTACTTCAAAGTTGAGCAAGTATGACATTTTCTAATGTTTCTAGTATGGCTGCTGATTGCTATTGAGATAGTTGAACGAGGAAGTTGTTGGCTGACCAAAGGAGGGATCGTATTGTACGTTCAGGACGTGCAGCGATTCCAACTGGTCCGAGGTATATTCAAAAGTGGATCCACGTGGTGCGATCCTTTTTTGGAGAAAGGCGATGCATTCATCGAGAACGAGGAGGAGAGCTGAAATTCAGATTTTCTCCTCTTTGCCAATCTACTGGAAACTCACAGGGTCCGGCGGTTGATTGGACCGAAAACTTTGACTGTTCAAACCGTTGGAGCATTGCCGTCAAAATGGTCACGTCCGTCGTCAGGCCCACGAGACATTTATCGTCGTACTCGCCAGGTCTCACTAACATTGCCGGAATCTAGAATGAGATTGATGAAAGGTAAACTGTCTGTGCACACTAACCAAGATGAACCATCCGTCCTCGTTTGAGATCATTTGTTCAAAAACGACACTTGGTGAGTAGAACTTTCGAATGTTTCGGAAGTGCGATGAGCTGAAAACATTGACTTTGCGCAGAGCTGTACTTCAACGTCATTCAACTCACACAAAGTCGCCGTACAGAGCTTCGAAGGTGCGGTGGGATAACGGGGATTTCAGAAGGAGTCCCGCCAGGAACATGCGAATCGTCATTGTTGAGGACATTGTCGGAAAAGTCTACAAAAGCATCTAGTAACTAAATATGCTCGCGCGGCGTTTGTGACAACTTGATTGAAAGCGGAGACGTACTGTAACAGATGGGGTTCACGCGAAAAACAAGTTGTAAACCATCGGCAGAAAACAGAAGTACCGCGCGCGCGAAATTTGAGAACTTCTGCCGAAGGCAATAAATTGGGCGTGGTGGAAGACGAGGAGACATGCCAGAACAGTGTGCATTTTATTTAGAAAACAAAAAAGGAATACAAAAGAAGAAGAAAAGGTGAGCAAAGAAGGAAAGAAAGAAATATGAAGAGAGAGAGAGAGAGGGAGAGAGAGAGGGAGAGAGAGAGGGAGAGAGAGAGAGAGAGCATTGGAAGAAAGCACACACGTAATTCAAACGAGTCGAATTACCATTGATAGGGGTAGTTAAAAAAGAATGGGTAATTGTTCTCCTCGATCAGGTTCTAGTTCCAGCCCCAGCCAATGTCATACTGCTCGTCATACTGCTCGTCGTAGTCCTCGGCGTAGTTCTCGATTGGTAACTCGTTGCCGTCCGTGGTATACTCCACATCATTCCAATGGTCATTTTGGAATGGGTAGTCGTACTCCTCGTTTGGGTTCAGGAGCCGGTCCATGATGTATTGGGAGTTATCCCTGTGCTCATTTGGAAGTGATTCGTCGTAGCCGTCGATTAGGAACTCGTTTCCGTCCATAAAGTACTGCTCGTAATCCCAGTTATCGGTTGGGAATGGGTAGCCTGACTCCTCAATCGGGTACGCGTCCCATCGCATGAAATACTGCTGGTTTTCCAGGTCCCAAGTGTTTGTGCGCTCGTCGCGGATAGCGTCCTGTAGACGCGCGATTTGATACTGTCCCACTTCGGAAATGTGAGCCTGTCCGATGCGAATGATGTTTTCCAAATGGCGCGAGAGAGCTCGTTCGGACAAGTAACGGTCGTCCGACGGATTGCCAGAGAACTGAAAACAGAAAATCCTATAAAATTTGGGACAGTCCGAGTTCTCACCGTCAGGACGAACTGCATGCTCACCGAGTACTGGTACATGTAGTCATTCTGAAAAATTAAAGACCGTGATGAGCATTATGGATATTCTAGTGAACTTACGATCTCCATGTTTCCCAAGTTTCGAAGAGTGTGGTAAGGGGCCAACGACGCCGGAGGGCTCTCAGAAGACCAAGAATGAAGCATGGCTGGAAAAAGAGAACGGATTTCGGAAAAACTAAAACAATCAAAAGATATACAGAGACGACGTCAACATTTTAATGGAAAATCCCAACGGTTTAATGTGATTATTATTAACCTTGGAAAAATACAATTTGTACCATTTGAAAGGTGTCCGATAACACAAGGACATGTACCAGTTAGGACGGAAGAACGGGAAAAGTACGAGAAAGTCTCATCTGAGAGAAAAAAGAAGGGACAGCGAGGAAAAGGAGACGACATGTAGCGTGCAGACAGTCAAAACACAAATTTGAATTAGAAGAGAGTGTCTAAGCCGTCCAAGTGTCGGGGGCGGGGCCTTCAGGGACCAGCGCGTACAATGGAAGGCCCGGCCACAGAAGGACAAAAGCATATGGGGGCGAACAAACTGGGATGTGGGCAGGAAAGTCAATATTGTTCGGCTGTGGATTGGCACTCCGTTTCTGAGCTGAAACTGTACTTGAACTTGAGCTACACAGAACTTTATCGACTGACAGCGCCGGTTTCCAGTATTATTTTGTCGAGAATTCTACTCCCGAGCTACAGTTTTCCCATGCGAAGGAAAACGAAATCAATCATGGCGTGATGTTCTGCAAACTTTCTTGTTGATTTGGATTCAAGACGTTCAGAATTTCGTTTCATCAATCCGGGATAGAACAAATGTTGAGGTCGCGAGAAGTCGAGCACATGTTTTTTCATTGCACTCAACATCAGCCGAATCGGACCGAAATTGTCCGACTTCATTTGATACGTGTGCAATGCACCCGTTTTGATAATCTGAAATAATTAGTTATATTGTCAAGTCAAGTTGTCATGTCCCGCACTCACTTTCACTACGAAGTCAACTAACTTTCGTACCGGAAAAGATAATTTCTCTCTAGATATTATAGTTTGTGTGATAAATAAAAACTGAAGATCGACAATAGTCAGATAATACCGGCTCGAGTCTTCTGAATTTCACCTCAAAATGATGATTACCGCGCTCTAGGAGCATTATCTTCAAAATTTCTATTGAGGAGACTATAATTTTAGGTCTACTAGGCCTACGGGTTGGCACGGCTGCTTGAGGACACGCGTAGGTGGTAGGGAGGCCACCTTCAACACACCGTGTTGGTGAAAACGAATGCATGCAACTAACTGACCTAACTGCGGGCAAATTAAAGAATAGTAATATGGAAATTACAACAAATTGGGAACCAACAATGGAAATGGGAAGAGGCGTGAGATTACGCAATTGACGGAGGGAACGAATCTGTAGGAAGACGGAAACGGTCCCGTCGACTAAAAATTTCAGTTTTCAACCTCTGTTGACGGACTTGACTACCGACAAAATGGTTGAAACTTGGAGTTGTGGAATGCCTTCAAAGATTGTGCCCGACTCATTTTCCAATGTAAACAAATGGTGACAAGAAATCACTTTTATGAAGATTTGGATCCCACGCAACATTAAAAGTAATTTCCACTTCCCGTTTGCCTTTTAGTAATGATTTTCATTTATTCGAAAATAAGTGAGTTTGTCCTGTGAAACGGTGTAAGCGGATCCATTCGATTTGGATGCTTCCTGCAAATATCTGTGAAATGTGGTCAAGCAAGCGAACGTCGTTACCTTGGGTGCACGCGGGCCAGCACAAAATCAAAGCATATTTTACTTTATTAATTTAAGTTAGAGGTCACATAAAAGAGAGAGAGAGAGAGACGATTCAAGAGACCTTTTTGTGAAGAGATTGTTTTATAAGATGCGCTCACTAGTCTATAGGTTGAGGTTGAGAAACAGAAAAAGGGGAAATTAGCATTAATCGATGATTCCATTGATCACTCATAAAGGATGATAAATTGAGAATTGGGAAAAAAATAAAAAGAAATTCACGTAAATACGTTATTCATTCTGCGGAGCTTTCATCCAGGTTCATCTGCTGGAACAGGGAAATTTCGCTCGAGACGCGACTGTTGACAGTGAATGTCTGCAAAAAAATCAGTTTTGTGCGAAATAAATATCAAATTTTCAATTACCGGGCGTGGCATAGTGTCGCTAACGAAAGTGACGTGCGAGTAGATTTGCATGAGGTCTTCAAACTCGTCGAAATGACCATTCTCAAGGGAGACGTAGTTGTGAACCTCATCGAAATCGTCTCCAATCGAACTGATCGATGAACGACGCGAGAAACTCGGGGAAGAATTGTGCAGCGAATTATCACGGAAAGTGGAATCGACACGTGATCGCAGAATGTTGCGGCGTTCGAGCTCAGACTCCACTTGCCAATTGGAGAGTGGGACGGAGAAATGGAACACATGGCTTTGGGGCTCGGGGAAGAAGTTCGCAACTTCAGAGTCCTCTTCTTCTTCCGACTCGGCCAACGACGGGGTGACGGATCTCACAATCTGGACAAAGACCCTAAAAAATGAAAGTTCATGAACCCAGTCTGGAAATTTCTTCCGATCTCACTCGTCAAGGTCCAACATCTCGTGCGCGTTGTTAAAGTGAGAGCCGACGAGAATGTTATCCAATCGGAACATGTCAATGAAAGTCTGATGCTCCGGACACCAAGTGAGAGTTTCAATGTCATTCCGACTGAAACTGATCTCGGGCCCCGGATTCTCATCGGCGATTCCCTTCCATCCTTCGTACAAATCAACAAGGTTCTCGAGAACGAACCCGTTGTTAAAGAGCGTTCTGTTGGCAAATGAGCCATAAAAAAATGAGTGTTTTAATATGTTGTTTAAACTTTTCGGAAGCAAAACTGACCATAGCTTTGTAGAGAGCGTTATAAGATCTGAAGAGATGACGTCCTGCGTGTGGGATGATATGACTGGCACATTCGGCCTGAAAATGGGTATAAATCAGTGAAATTTACATTTTTAGAAATCGTACCGACGTGTTGATACTCTCGACAATTCGTTCAACTTGTTGTAGCATGGTGAGGCTGACTCTCCACGGAAAATAGAAAATGTGACGGCTGCTTCCACGACACATCTGGTCCTAAACAAATTCTACGGTGATCGAACTTCAATTGCGAACAATTTACCCAAGTTTCGGTCAAATCGCTTAAAATGAGTCGGGCACGGGTGAAGTGACGCTTCAATATCGCAAGTTTTTCGTCGGAAAATCGGATGACCTGCTGGTCGGTCATTCTGAAATGTAGGAAGGAGCATCTGGGCCGATAAAAACGGAGAAAGCACGGAGGAAAAGTTTAGAGATTCGCACATTTTTTTCGTTGAATTCATTCAAAACATTCGAAGCACAAGTAAGATAACATGTGAGACTTGGAAATCGGTGCGTATGTGCATAGTAGCGACAAGCCACAATTATAGTCGAGTAAAGGATACGTCTCGAATTTTCTTAAAGGACGGGGAATGAAATCAGAGGTTAATCATGATGAGTCATCCAAGGAAGATAGAAACTGGGCGCAAAATGCAAGTGACAAAGTGAAAATGAGCTCTTTCTTTTTGTAGTTGAAGTCAGAAGAAGGCGGGGGTAGCGACTATCAGCTGACTTCAGGCAACGTGTACTAACCGAATTAATAGTACAAATCCGTGAATTCTAATCAAAACAATGTACTTTTCCCAGTGACCTTTAGAGGATAACTAGAGGTTAGTTAGGTGCTCCGTTGGGAAAATGAAGGAAAAATGATGATAATACCAGAAATCAGGAGGAAAAATGTGACAAAAGCGTCATTTTGAAAGAAAGGTGTTGGAAAGGACGTCTAAATAATGCGGGGTTTATAAGAAACAAGCCACAAACTAGATCGTTAAGTTCTCATATGTTGCACAAAAAAAATCGATTTATTCTATAATGTATTCTTCGACCGGAAACTGATATATTTAAAAAAGCAGAAGGGACTAGTCTCAAGGTGTCTCGCGCACGCAAATGTCCCAGACTTCGTAGAGACGTGTCAGAAGACGGGCGATTCCCGCTTGATCGTGCGCGGAATAACGACGGCCACCAAAAACGAGCAACACTCGAAGAAGGGCGAATCTCCTTTTTTGGGCGCGGTAGAAACGATTCTCCAAATCGACTTCTGATGCTTCCTGGAAAAGCATTGCAACAATTTTGGAAAGAATAACCGATTTTTCAGTAACTGGTTTTTTCCGGACCGCGACAAGTCTGTCTTGAGAAGTCAAAGCAGAACTCACCAGAACTCCAATCACTTCCTCACACTCCCGACGGGCGTATTGCAACTGGAGCTGTAATGGGACAATTCGATTATGCAAGATTCTTCGTAAAACGTACTCTTTGTAAGACGGTCATGTTGTTGTGTCGGTCCTGGTTGTCCAGTTCTGTGAGCGCGACGGGCATTTCTGAAAAGTAAAGTGGAACAACGTTTGTAGATCAGAAAGTACAACTCGGAGGAAGAGATTCAAAAAAAAGAGAGGGATTAGTAGGACAATGCACTCCTACCGCCGCGTTATTTCCAATGTTTTTTTTTGAGTCTCACGCGGAACATTTCTAGAGAAGACCTCAAGGGGCCTGAATAGAAGTGTTTGTTATCGTTCACGGAACGAAATGAGTCAGAAGAATTGCATGATAATGTATAGCAAGTGATTTTAATGAACTAATTGCCCGAGGGATGCTTCTTTATCATTCATAATGACTTGGAATATACGAAACATTCGCTCCTTTTTCTTTTCTGGAAAGGGAACATGAATGAGATGAAAAGGAAGGTGGCAGGCAGGCTCGTTTTGAAGAAACAATAGCAAATAAAAAATGATGGTTTTTTTGTTCAATTTCTGTTTATTTATTGACCAAAAAAAATTTACGGCTACGCACAGCACATACGTGCACTAGCTATCGATTCAAGAAAATTTAGTAAGGATGGAAACGGCAAATATGGAAAAAGACGGGAAAATGGGAATCGCTTTGGACACGGGTAAAAAACATTATGTTTGATGATTCGTCAGTTGAGTTCACTCGAATTGAATCTCGTCGAGGTAGTACTCATTGTGGATGATATTCTGTAAAGAAATCACAAGTTCTAGCGGAGAAAAAACTTGCGCTCACCCGAAGATGCCACAATTGGACAGGATTGCAGTCGAACGAATGCTCGAACAGCGTGAACTCTCCATCTTCTAACGGGATGTACTCGAGTACTGGCGGAATGTATGTCTCGTCCTCCGATTCGTAGTAACTCTCTTCGCCAGACTCAACCGACGCCAATCTCTCCAACGGCTTTGCTTTCTCCAGTTGTGCCATGAAGTCATCCGAATCGTCTGTTGGATGATCACGGTTTCGTGGAAGAAGAGAGGTTATTTCATCCAGCACCTCCCGCACATCATCGACAAACTCATCGTCTGTGGTCTCGTCCTCATCATCTTCATCTTCATTTTCATCACTTTCCTCTTCTTCGTCTACTTCAGAATCCTCTTCTTCCGACAGATCTTCAATGGGTTCTCTCTGCACTTCCAGTTCTAACATCTCAATTTCCCGATCCGTTAGAGTGTCCTCGAATGCTTTTCTGAAACTGATAACATTTCGGATTCATCTGAAAGTGGATGTGTTCACATTTCTGGAGTGAGCATTTCTTTCAAGTCGCGGAAATCTGGACTCGTAATTGTTGTGTCAATAAGGAACAAGGACATGAAGTTATGGTGGTGTAAATCGTTGCAGGCGTCTGCGACTGAGCAGTAGCTGAGGTTGCACTCTTCCACGGAATTCCTCCCTATTTCATTTCGCCAAGACTCATAGCAGTCTCGGATGTTGTCGTATGAAAAACCGCCGTTTGAGAACGTTCTGTTTGCTATTTCTCCCTGAAACGGGACATTCGAGAATGGGGGAAGGAAACGAGGATTTACCAGTGATAGATATCTTCCGTAGAAATGATCGGAAAGCTGTTCTCCAACGCGGTAGACGTCCGAAAGACGAATCGGCTGAAAACGTCATTTCTCGCTTCAAGCAACGTGGCATTTGATGCGCCTAGACGACATCACTATCCTCTTTTTTGGATTTATTGGAAAATGGGACCACCTACCGTAGACTTTCAAGGCCCGGATGTTTACTTTTCCAGAATTTTCTTAAGTGAAAAAACACGTGCGGTAAAGTTGCTAAAATGAGTGTCAGCTGAACGAATTTTTGAAAACTTTTGAACACAACTGGACCCTGCCGAGCTGACGGGACCGGGTCTGAGAATTTCAAGTCTGACTTACCGTAGTCTGAAGGTTGCGAACAAGACGAGTGCAAAAGTGTTGCATCTCACGGCACAATATGGCCGGATATCTGAACAATCGCTCGCTCTTATCCTTAGCCAGGGCTTCCTGAAATATAACAGATTATATCTTAGTTTTGTTAAGAATTTGCTACCCAGTAAGCAGATATGTCCTCAAGAACGTCATTACTAAATTCAAAATGCGATACCAGGAAAGCGATCTGCTTTTTGGTGAATTGGGTTGGAAGCGGTTTCGAAAGATGAGCCATTGTGAAGAAGTTTGTTGGATCTGAAGAAGAAGAAGAACAAGTGAAGTACAGAAAGAGGAAAAAGAGCCAAATGAGCGAGTTGATGAGCAGAAAGAAAGAACGGAGAAATTGGGTTAGCTGATTTGCTCCAGAGCCAGTTCCAATCTCGCGTTCATTTATTTAGATGTCAGGGAGCAACGAGAAGGGATAAAGAAGGAGAAGAAAAGGGGAAATGAAGGAGGCATTTTTTTTGCCTTCTATCGCCAACCCGCTCGTTTCGATTCCACGACGCCTTCAGGAAAAAAAATGGGCCGAGGGGTGTGGAATCAATCTCAAAACAATTACGTTCGGCAGAGTGAGCCGGAAAGAGGCTACACCACAATTTGCGAATGGGGCGATGGATGTGAGGAAGAAAAAGAAGAAGAAGAAGAAGAAGGGCAGATGAAAAGTGAGAAAGCAAAATGCCACTGAGAATGGAGAAAAAGAGAGAGAGAGAGAGGGACTAGGAATGGATGATATGGGTTCCAATAAGAAAAATTTATGAATATTTTGCAACTGTTGTTTCAGATCCAGATCCCTTCTACACCAGCTTCGTATGAATAAATGTCAATTCGTTTTCTCCAATTTCTTCCTCGGATTAGCTTACATGTAATCAAATCTAATCTGTTTGAAAAGAGCAGGATGATGTTTAGATTACGAGTAATCACAGATTAGTTCCGAATGACGCCTTCGAGTGCGGTGGCGCGAGTCCTTTGTCTTTCTCTCTTTCTCTTTCTTTCCATTCAACTCTCAGGACTTCTTATCTCCCACATTTCCATATTATTGCTTTCGAAGTCTATCATCTGGCGATAAAGATAATGTGTTTGCTCCTTGCTTTCCTTTCCTATCTATTAAAGCACCAGCTTTCAATCAAACATACAATCGGTGCCATTTCGATTTTGGATTAGCTCACCAATCCCTGCAAAATCCCTGTTAGATGAACTTTGCCTATTAATTATTTTCCTCATATCACTTTTTCTCTATGCTTCATATCACTGCTCTTTTGAATGACTCACTTTTACTTTATGTCCTTCAATCCTAGTCAGTTCAAGCGTGTTCAAAGTTCGTCCAAATCTTGATGAAACACTTTAATTTTGTCACGTAATTTGACTTCTCTGAGATTTTTTCGTACAATTTTCCAATAACTAGTCGGGCTGGTCAGTTTTGTCCTCGACCCGGCCGGGTTTTGCCAACTATGATGAAAATGTCATTAGGAAAATTATTCAGCCCGTGTGACTTGATGTTTTATTGCTTTTTGTCTAGTCTGTGACTTTTGGACGTTTCTCTTTTTATTTTTTTTTAATTTTTAGCAATTTTGAGTCAAGATGTCTGAAATGACTCATGATCCGAAAGATCTGACTCAAACCTATTCAAAAGAAGATCAAGATCGACTTCTCACAATTGTTGATCATCGCATCACCACGTTTGTTAACGATATCAGGAGATGGGTATGAATACAACGTTTTTTTCAAGTTACTACCAGTTTTTTTCAGTTGAACTACTATAACGGATTCAGCAAAGAGTTTTTTGAAGCACCACTAAAAATTGCACATAACATGGTCAATAACGCAATCACTATGAAAGAGATTTTGAGAACGGATGTGCATCTGACATTATAAAGAATTAAAAGAAAATAAAAAGTTCAGGTTGTCTCAGTTGTCCGACTCCAAAAACTCGCGTTGAACTTTGAGATCTATTACCACGACAAGTACATGCCGCTGGTAAGCTACCTCTCCGATAATTCCAAGAATCACTGAATTCCAGAAGTACTCTGCAATCAACATTCTGCAGCACGGCGGATGGACAAACTACAACTTGAAAAAGCTGGACAGAGTGTGGCGGAACATTGTGAACGACCGAGATATCGAAGAGCGAGTTGTGCTTCCGCCGAGACCTCGCGCTGATCTCCGCGCTTTCATTGGCATTTTCAACGGCCTGGGGTGACTAGATTGTCAAGGGATCAGGAAATCCTCCAAGTTTCTGTGTCTTCTATTGCCACGCACACTTTTCGAATCGCAGTCAAAGCTGTGACCGTGGCCTAAGAGAATCCTCGGCTATATCAACTTTTGTGGATTTGTTTCTGAACAATCTTCTGGTAATGCCAAACATGCACAAAAATTAGCACCCCTACATAGAGCCATGGCGCCAAACAGCTAGCAGGGAGGAGTTTTTACACCTGAATTTTCTAGGCCACGACCACAAATTTGACTGCGCGCTTCACGGGCAGTTGGAATTCGGGCAGCGTTTGTGGCAGACACATAAACTCGGAAGGTTATTTGGTCCTTTAATCTCCCTAACATTTCACCGAACGTTTTAGGAATCCCACTTTCGACAATTACATGGCCGAGATTTTCCGAGAAGGGTTCGAGCCAAAAAAGTGTGTGTTCCGTATTTGACCAGAAACAGAACTGTGGTTTGCAGGGATAATGAGTGCCAAGTCTGCATTTTCGACCTCACACCTGAAAGAAACAAAAAAGTCGTCCTTCCAATAGAACTAAACACAAATGCCGAGCCCGAACAACATCTCTTCTTGGATTCGTGGCGAGACGGAATGAACTCAGTTCAGGTCCAAGCAGATTTCCCCAATCCCCATTTAGAGCCTCCCATTGGATTTCCGGTTAAGGAAAAAACAGGAAGAAATTGGCTGGCTGAGATTGTACCGAAACTGAGAAATCCGTCAATGAGCTCTAGTCTCTGCAGTTGTGATATGACTGACGATGATCTGGACGAGTACATCGGCATGACGGCCTGCAATTTCCGTGTCCTTCTAGAGAGCGATGAAGCGGACTGGGAACTGGGTGTGTACTGATTGTGGGCGCATTTTCTCGTGGGGTTATTCAGTGTATGTCTTTTTTAGTTCGTCTCATTTTATTACGTTTTTTTAATTCAAAAACCCAATTCAGTGATTTAAAAAACAGAAAAACACCCGCTGAATAACCCTAACAGTTTCAATATGTTCGAATGTTTTAAATTACCTTTGTTTTCTCTCATATTTATTTGAAAAAGGTCATTTCTTCAATAAATATACGTAATTTTATTTTCTTAAATAGATTTGATTCGATTATACGCAATGCTTGCAGCTGCGCATGGCGGCATACGTTGTGAATGCATAAAACCTATAAATGCGTGATAAAATACTGATTACTAACAGTTCCTCATAGTTCATCGGAAAGTTGTACTTTCCAAATTTTTAAACTTGATTTGGCTGATTTCGATTATCCTAACTCTGTTTTTTTCTTTCGAGGGAGCTTTCTGGTTCTCGTAATCTTATACGCCATTCTGACGTTGTATGAGCTCTCGACAGCTTAGCGGCAATGCTCTTTGCTCAAGAGTCAGCTGAAATCAGTTTCTGGCTAAGTGACACGTGTTTGGTGTTGGCCACGGCGTCGCGAAACACTAAGAGAACTTGTTGCGGTGTCTGGAAGAGTGAACCTGACAAAAGAATTCGATAACATGACTAGCGATTTCTTTTGCGAGTTCTTATAACACGATTCCAACAATTCGCAATCCAAGAGGGGTTCCGCTCTTCCCAACTCCTTCCCACTGCCTTCTGAACGGCGTTTCTGCGTTCTCGCGTCTTTTCGCATCTCTGCGTACGCGACGCGAGTGGGTGACCTTCGTTTTCCATCTGTCGCGTAAGACCAGTGAAAAGTGACATACGCAGAAAATTTCCGTAGTTTTGCGTCATTGTGTTTGCACACTGTCGTCGCTGCCTCTCCTTTTTTTCTGCGGGACCCTCCAGTCATTCTTGTGGGTCGCTCACTTTAATTCTTCGATTTTTGTCTCTCTGGTCGACACAACGTCTTCCAAAACTTCTCAACCTTACCGTGACTTGATGGCGACACCATATCGCTACAATTCCCTAAAAATTACCACAATTTGCTGCTTCTCGTTTAATTGACTCCGATTTCGATTCTGGCCTAAGCGACTAATGCAACCTCTGCCTGCAAACGGAAAACAAAAGGTAAATCGTCATTTTCAGATGTAAATTGAACGAAAAACGCTAAATCACATCACTCCGGTGTCACCTCTGCTTTTGCCAGACTTGGTCGGATATCAACAGGAAAAGCGAGGATTGTGAGGGAATTGGACTGAAAAACTCGATTTCTACTGCATATTCAACGTTCACGCCTTGTTTGCTGATTGGAGCGAACGATACGCAACAACCCCCGAGAGGCTGATTATCGATCGATCGCCGTCAACCGACCCAGCGGCACAATTGATTCACGCTAGAGTTTCGAGTAACCGGTGAGTTAAAACGCTCCGAAAAGTGTCTTCGGTGCATCAGAAGAGAAATGTTTATAAAAGAACGAACCAAACTCGTGAAAATCACTCATCTGTTTGCAGTGGAGCACACACGTAAAACAGCGAGCTCGTATCAGCCAAATGAAGCAGCGGCCAACCGAAAGAGAGCTTCCTTCTCCCTGGGCGACGGGTAACTGCAAATTAGCGAATGCAAATGCGAAAACATGCTCTTTTGTCACGTGCGCTTTTCGGATGATGGCTAAATTAAAGTGAGATCGGATGGCAGCGTGTGAATGAAACGGAAGGAACGAGTGGGTTCGTCAGTGTACTACTCATTACCTCGTGGTCCGGCTAGTTACTAGGCAACAGAAGAAGCGCAATAGCGCGGAGGATTTCCAATAACAAGTATTACGTTGTTTAGGCATCCGCGATTGGGGTATTCGAGAAATGAAATATATACCAGGGTACCAGTGAAGCTTCAATGAATATGGATGAACAAAAACCAAGAATCACTGGGGATGCTATTGAGCTTAGCTTTTTCAGGCATTCTAATGTACGTGCGAGTCGACAACGTGTGTGGATGTTCTCGGAGTGCACCACAAAACCTTTCGAAGGAAAGACTACAGATGCCAGAGACGTGTTTGCTGCTCCGGGGAGGGATCGACGGCTGCATCAACATTTCAACAACTTGAAAGGTTGTCCCGCTGATACGGCTCAAGACGGCTCAAGAGTTGGACGTTTCCGCTGTGATTGGCACGGAGGCAGAATTCGCAATGCAGTTTCCAGTTGCTGGCAATGCTTGCCACCTCGATGCACCTGTTTCCCAATCTGAATACACCCGTTAGGCATCAGGACGACGTGGCCAGTTCGACAGGGGCTTTACGGTGGATGTTGGCCAACCCATTGAGGAGAATGTCGTTGCAATTGATGTGTCTCACAGAGGCAACTTTTATGTGAGTCACGATTTTCATACGGTTTCCATCGTGAGCAATGCGAAAGTTAGGTTCCAAGAAAAACATTTCATAAAACCTTTCGACGAAAGCATGTGACCGTTGATAGCTGAGTTATTGACTTGGAAGAAGAGTTTGTGGAGCGTTCGGATCAATATGCCACATTTTAAAGGAATTGAAGCCTTGTAGCAACATTCTTTCGACTTGAACCATTGCTGACTCCGTTCACTTAACATATCCTATCAGAGCTTCTTTTCATTCCAACCCACTTTTCAAAATATTGACTATGTCTGAACATTCAGCCAAAATTGTGAGGCGAACGTGTTCCAATAACAACGTGGCTTTCGCTCCGCTCTCCTGTAATAACGTGCGCTCTCGCTCACTCTTTCTCCCTCGTCTTCCGCTTTTCCGCTGGCCACCATAGATAGAAGCCGCTCAACTTTTCGTTAGTAGTCACGTTTCATCCTCTTTTTTTCAGATTCCACGCCTGACGGATTCAAAGAAGATACCGAGCAAACCTCCAGTCGCTCTTTTTCTTCTCCTCCAAAATCGGACTCGAATTGTTCTTTTTTAAATCAGCTTTTGGACTGATGTGTATATTTTTATTGTCTTGTTCGTTGAATCTTCCGCGCCTCTCTCTCTCTCTCTCTCTCTCTCTCTCTCTCTCTCTCTCTCTCTCTCTCTCTCTCTCTCTCTCTCTCAATCTTTCGTTTTCCCTTTTCCCTTTTCCAATCATTAAAACTCTTTCATTGCAGGAATCGACGCAGCAACAACAAGACGTAGAGATTTGGCGTAGCGAACCGAACGGGGAAGGAAAAAGGTGAGCTGAAGGATATTTAAGAATACATAGATATCATAAAATAGGGGTTTCCTGAACGCACTAAGATGAACGGTTCAAAACAATACAAATTATCCTGTTTTTCAGATTCAAAGATGAATCTTCCTCCGCCGCCGCCACCACCGCCTCCTCCGCCACCTCGCTCTCCATCAACACCACCACCGCCGCCTCCACCACCACCGGTTCCTCACATTCCTCCTCCGTCTCTTCTCTCATTGGCGCTACCACCACCACCGAATCCGCCACCGATCATGCCGTATTCGAACATACTGCCACCGGAAGCGCTCATACCACCACAACCGAGGCATCCGCATTCGCTACTCTCAACGACTCGTCTGCCACCATCACTGATGCGGTCGCCGCCAATGCAGCAGCCGAGAATTATTCCTCCGCCATTTTACCAAGAGAGGTTGAAGTCTCCGCATTCGCATAAGATCAAATACCCTCAAATGGCGAACCCGTATCAACAATATCATTCGCCGGTGCCACAGCAACCGCCGATGTCGCAGTTTTATCATTCTCAAATACACCCTCCGCCGCCGCCCCAGCCATGTGTTAAAAAAAGTCTGCTCACGGTTAAGTCGGAGCCGGAAAAGACTTTCTACTCACTACCAAAGCCACCAACACCGCCAGATCTGTCGAACCAATCGAATTCACAGCAGAAGGTAAACCGTACGTCAAATCACTCATCTAAAGTTTTTTTTTCTGCAGACTTCGCAATCAGTGCTGCAAAATCCACCAAAGATGATGCCTCCGCCGTTTGGACCGACGAATGAGACGTCGAAGTCGACTTCACAGCCAAAGCCGACGTCTTCATTCTCGAAAAGTTCACACTTAACGAGGTTGCCACCGCCGCCGCAGGCACCAAATCTGAAGCCGCCGTCAACTTCACACCCGAAGACTTTGTCCACATCGTCTACACCTACCAAAAATATGAACGCGCAGCCTCCACAATCGAAGTCACTGGATGCACGTACGGCGAAGCAGCATCCGCAACCACCGAAACGGATGCCTATGTCGAGCTCACACACCAAGGAGAAGTCGAAGCCGACGTCGCAGCCATCGGAGACGGATACACGGACTACGAAGTCGATGGGAATACCACCGCCGCCGCAACCACCGAAGCGAATGCCTTTGTCGAGCTCACACACCAAGGAGAAGTTGAAGCCAACGTCGCAGCCATCGGAGACTGATACACGGACTGCGAAGTCACTGGGAAAACCGCCGTCTCCACAACCATCGAAGCGGATGCCTTTGTCGAGCTCACACACTAAGGATAAATACAAGTTGACGTCACAGCCAACGGAGACGGACACACGGACTGCAAAGTCGGATGAGACGACTTCCCACCCGAAGAAGATACCAGCGCCGACTTCGCAGCCAATGAAGCCGGGAGCGACGATTTCAAGGACGATGGAACTGCCTTCGCTGTTTCGAACACCGATTGTCGAACCGTCTTCCCAGCCGAAAAAAACAGAGAAGTCTACTTCTCGGCCGAAGGAGGCACCCGCGCCGCCACAAATACCGAAGGCGGTTGACGGATCATCTTCGCATTCGATGAGGAAAGGCGATTCGACATCTCAATCTAAGAAACCTACTGCATTATCTTCAAAGCAGAATGAGTTGCTCCCGCCAACTTCACAGCCGATGAAAACGAATGAGTCACCTTCCCATTCGAAGAAGACATCTGAGACGTCCCAGCCGAAGAAATTGGATGAGCCGACTTTGCAGCCAAAGAAGTTGCCTGCACCGCCACCACCATCGAAGACGACTGATGCACCATCTCCACAGTCAAGAAAAACAGATGAACCAACTTCTCAGTCAACGGACACAAAGTTTTCTACGCCGCCACAAGCGCCGAAGGAGGAGGATGATTCATTTTCACAGTCAATGAAACCAGATGAGCCGACTTCCCAGCTGAAGGAGGTTCCTCCGATGCCACAACCATCAAAGGAGGTTGATGGACAATATTCCACGCTCAAGAAGACAGATCAGGCGGCTTCGCAGTCAAATAAGGTACCTGTGCCACCACAACTACTTACAGAGGCTAATGAATCATTTTTCCAGCAGAAAGAGGTGGACACACCATCTTCGCAGCCGATGAAGTCAGACGAGCCGGCTTCGGACCCAAAGGAGGTTTCGTCGATGACAGAACTGCCGAAGGAAGTAGATGAACCATCTTCACAGCTGAAGGAGACAGAAGAGTCGACTTTGTTGTCCACAAAGTTGTCTACGCCGCTCCAACCGCCGAAGGAGGAGAATGAACCATCTTCACAGTCAATGGAGACGGATAAGCCGGCTTTGCAGCCAAAGGAGGTACCTGCGCCACCGCAACTACTGACCGAGACGGATGCACCATCTTCCCAGCAGAAGGAGACAGGTGAACCAACTTCACAGCCAAAGGAGGTACCTGCGTCGCCACAACCATCGAAGGAAGTGAATCGACCATGCTCACAGTCTATGGAGTCAGATGAGCCAATTTCGGTGTCAAAAGAGGTACCTGAGCCACCAAAACTACCAATAGAGGTTAATGAACCATTTTTCCAGCAGGAGGAGGAGGATGCAACATCTCCACAGTCAATGGAGACGGACGAGTCAGCTTCGCATCCGGTGGAAATATCTGCGCCAGCACAACGACCTATGGAAGCAGATGAACCATCTTCACAATCGATCGAAAAAGATGAGCCGACTTCGCAGCCGAAAGAAGTACCTGCGCCACCACAACTACCGAAGGAGGCGGATGCACCATCTTCTCAATCGGCGGAGTTAGATGAGCCGGCTTTGCTGCTGAAGGAGGTTCCTACGATGCCACAACCATCAAAGGAGGTTGATGAACCATATTCCTTGATCAAGGAGACAGATCAACCGGCTTCGGAGTCAAAGGAGGTACCTATGCCACCACAACTGCTGACAGAGGTTAATGAATCATTTTTCCAGAAGAAAGAAGCGAATGCACCATCTTCTCAATCGGTGGAGTCAGACGAGCCGGTTCATCCGATGTCACAACCGCCAAAGGAAGTGGATGAACCGTCTTCACAGTCAATGGAGACGGATGAGCCGGTTTTGCAGCCAATGGAGGAACCTGCGTCGTCACAATCACAGAAAGAACTGGATGAATCATCTTCACAGGAAATGGTGCCAGATGAATCAATTTCTCAGCTCAAGGAGGCTCCTACGATGCCACAACCACCAAAGAAAGTAGATGCCCCATCTCTTAAGGAGACAGACGAGCCTGCTTTGCAGTTGGAGGAAGTACCTGCGCCACCAAAAGTACCGACGGAGGCCGACGCACCATCTTCTCAATCAGTGGAGTCAATTGAGCCGACTTCGCTGCCGAAGGAGGTACCTGCGCCAGCACGACTTCCGACGGAGACGGATGCACCATCCTTACAGTCAATGGCAATAGACGAGCCGGTTTCGCAGCCAAAGGAGCTATTTGCGCCAGCAGAACTACCGACGGAGGCAAATAGACCATCTTCTCAATCGGCGGAGTTAGATGAGCTGGCTTCGCATCCGAAGGAGGTACCTGCGCCAGCAGAACTACCGAGGGAGGCGGAAGCACCATCTTCACAGTCAATCAAGAAAGAAGAGCCGGTGTCGCAGCTAAAGGAAGCATTTGGGCCGGCAGAGGCGAATGCACCATCTTCTCAATCGGTGAAGTCAGACGAGCCGGCTTCGCAGCCAAAAGAGGTACCTACGCCACCACAACTACTTACAGAGGTTAATGAATCATTTTTCCAGCAGAAAGAGACGAATGCACCATCTTCTCAATCGGTGGAGTCAGACGAACCGGCTTCGGAGCCAAAGGAGGTTCATCCAATGCCACAACCGCCAAAGGAAGTAGATGAACCATCTTCGCAGTTGAAGGAGTCAGATGAGCATACTTCTCAGCTGAAGGAAGTTCCTGTATCATTTAAACCACCAAAAGAGGTGCATGAATCATTTTCCCAACTGGAGCAGAAGGATGAGAGAACTTCTCAGCCACAGGAAGAACGTGCGCCGCCACAATCATTGAAGGAAGTCGATGAACTATCTTCACGGTCAACGGAGACGGACGAGACGGCTTTGCAGCCAAAGGAGATACGTGCCCCACTACAGCTACCGGCAGAGGCGGATGAACCATTTTCCGAGTCGATAGAGTCAGATGAGCCGACTTCTCAGCTGAAGGAGGAACCTGCGTCACCACAACAAACGACAGATTTGGATGCACCACCTTTCCAGGTGAAGGAAGAGAATGCATCATGTTCACAGTCAATAGAGTCAGACGAGAAGATTTTCCATCTGAAACAGGAGCCTGCTTCACCACAACAATCAACGGAAGCGGATGAATCATTTTTCCAACTTGAGGAGGAGGATGCATCATCTTCACAGGCAATAGAGTCAGATGAGACGATTTCTCAGCTGAAAAATGAACCTGCGTCACCAGAACGATCGACGGAGGCAGATGCACCGTCCTTCCAGCTGAAACAGGAGAATGAAACATCTCCACAGTCAATGGGAATCCCTCCGCCACCACAAGCTCCAAAGTTGATTCCTTCGTCAGCCGTACAACCAAAGGAGTTGCCTAAGCTGACTCCAGAGCCTAAGGAGATGGATGCACCAACTTCACATTCAGTGCAGTTGCCCCCGCCGCCGCAACCACCGAAGCTGATGACTCAGCTAATTCCACCATCAGGAGAGATGAATGAACCATCTTACCAGTCAAAGAAATTGGTTGCGCCATTTGCACAGTCAACGGGGTTGCCTCCGCCGCCACCGCCACCCAAGTTGATGCCTCTGCCACCTATATCGAAGAGATCAGAGCCTCCACCGCCACCACTGAAGGAAGTGTGCTCGCCGTCTGCGCAGTCTCAACAGTCAACATTAGTGCCTCCACCGCCAAAACAGCCAAGGCTGATGTCTTCAGCGACTTCACGAGCAATGGGATTGCCTCCGCCGCCACCGCCACCAAAGCTTATGCCTGTGCCAACTGGTTCAAAAAGATCAGTGCCACCGCCGCCACCACCGAAAGAAGAATCTGCGCCGTCTCAACAGTCAACAGGAGTGCCTCCACCGCCAAAACAGCCGAGACTTATGTCTTCAGCGACTTCACGGGCAATGGGGTTGCCTCCCCCGCCACCTCCACCAAAACTGATGCCTGCGCCGCCTCCAACAACCAGATCAGTGCCTCCGCCGCCGCCAAGACCGAGGGATATGTGTACGCCGTCTCTACCGTCAACGGGATTGCCTCCCCCACCACCACCACCAAAGTTGATGCCTGTGCCGGCTCTATCAACGAAGTCAGCGCCTCCGCCGTCAACACAACCGATGGTGATGGATTCCCGGACTTCACAACCGCAACTGGTGCAACCCCAATTGTCGTCAAGGCTCCCACCGCCGCCACCGCCACCAAAGCTGCCCCCACTTCAGTCTCAGGATCAGCACAGACAACATCAATCTCACTCTCACTCGAAACCGGAATTCAAGCAGCCGTTGGTTCAACCAAGAATTTCTGCAAATGTCGAGTCAAAGGAGCCACAAGCTTCTGTCAAGCAACCCGAGTTCAAAGAGCCGTTGCTACCTCAAAAGGGAGTATTTAAGGAGCCACAAGCTCCGTTTGTTCTTAAGGAAGTGAAGAAAGAGGAAGGAGTGTTCCAGCATCCGCAGCATCCGTCTAGAGCGCAACACACTGGCACCCTTCAGAGACCGGCCGATGATCACGTGGTGCAATCGTGGAAGCAAAAAGTTCTGACGGAAGAGGAAAGAGCGGCAATGCGCCTAATCCCAGAGGTTTGTAGAATTTCCCGTATCGCAAACACGTATTTTGATAATTTCAGGAGAGTTGCAAGAAGATTCACACCTACATTGACAACTTTATGCAAACGCGGCAGAAACTCGCATTTCCGCGTCTCCGATCTGAATGGGAGCGTCAGCCACGAGAGAAATGGGACCTTCCGCCGGTTCAGCCTCTTCACAAGGTATTTTGCACTGAAATAAACTCAATTAACCTGAACAATGTCAATTACAGCACGATGGAATCACGAAATTCTTCCTGGAAAGATTGAACGCAATTCTCATCAAACCTGATTACCGCCTGACATACGAGAAAATGATAAGCAAGAATATTCCCGAGCTGAAGACTCAAATTGTCTCTTGGACTCTGGCGGTGATTGGTTTCCTGAGACAACTTGGAGCCGACGATCGGTGGCTGCTCGAGGATGTTTATGAGATTGACGAGCCCGACGACACGTTCTTCGAGAAGATTCATCTCCTTGCGTACGCTTGCGCGTGGGCTAGAACGAAGGGCGAACTTGGATACTTCAAAGCTCACGTCGTCAAGGGCAGTCAATTGATGCGTCATCTTGCACGGACGGCAAGGACTTTGAGTCAGAAGATGAACCGCGTTCCAAACACTTGGTTCCGTCATTGCGACAAGAAACTCTACGGCCGAACGGAGAATGAATGGTTCCCTTTCACTATGATCGAGACGGAACGTGTCAGGAGAGCTCTTATGGTTGGAAGACCGCGAGATTACTATGAGGAGTTCTTCTACGACTTGCTGGCTCGCATGCAAGATACGAAGGACAGAGAACGTGGACGTCAGCCGCGGAAGAGAGGCGCTGCCGCCGAGCAACACGCACAATTGCTCAAGAAGATCAGAAAGGAGGTCGACGATCTGGTGGCCCAGGCGGTGAGTTCAATTATGCCAATTGCTCTCAATAAAAATGCTTTATTTTGCAGAAAGCAGACGAGGCAAAGGCCTTGGACCCTTTTAAAGTGCCAAAAGAGGAGGAAAAAGATGTGAAGCCGGTGGTCGACAAGGTACAGTTTCTAAAAAAGTGGAGTCTTGAGCATAGCAAGTTTTACAGAGATTCCTGGAGGAGAACCGAAGATACGAGCAGATGAAAAAAGATCAAGAAGCGGCCAAGAAAAGAGAGGCACACCAAACATCTGAGGCCCAGGTACGTTGCTACAAAAAATGGTTAGCGGACGCGAGACAACCTTTTGTTAAAAAAATCTGGTCTGGTTATTGGCCCGACCCGTGATTAGTCTGTTTTACTGTAAATCGCCGGTGTCTTCGTATCACCAATTCTTCAATTTTTAGTTACCATCAACTTGCACACATTACTTGTTTCCAGAGATCGACGAACGAGGAGTTCCGCAAGATGTTCCAGAACGCGATCAGCGGAAAAGTGACAGAATCGAATGACCATCTGCGTTCGATAATTTCTACAACTCCCAGAAGATCGTACAACCGAGAGGGGATGCCGTCGCCTTTCCTTCAGGTACAAATATCGATTGTTTCAGGGGAACCAACAACCAATTTTTGAAAATTTCAGAGAACCTATGAGCAGCACAGACGCAATACCGAGCAACAACACTCGAGACCATCGACTTCCACTGCTGTAATTAGACGTCACGGAATTATCAGTTCTCATTGAATGTTTTTCAGAAGTCACCGCCAGACTCGAAAGTCGGAATCCTGCAGAGCACTAGCAGCAGCTCGTCATCGTCATCGCACAGGCACAGGCACCATCAGGGCAAAGACAAGCCCCGGTCCTAATTTTATCCTTTGATTCGAATGGGTCGAAAAATATTTGTACTGTACTATAAGCTCAACCTTGTATTGTTGCCTCCACATTTACCACGCGCCCCTTTATACTTAGCCTTCTCCATTTTCTTGTTGCAAGAGTGTTTCGAAAACCTCATCAATGTTGTAGATCCATACTCTGATGCGTTCAGTCACTGGCGGCGGGTCTTGTCACGAATGGCTTGTGGTGGGCCTCGTTTGTTTCAAACCCGTTAAGTGTGCCAAATGCAAAAGAGTGGATAATCAAATGTTATCTCGTAGCTGCCTTAGCACTATTAGCTGTTCCGATGATTTTTCTACCGTCACAGTCATTTCCATTCCCAAATCGGAAATCTTCATGTCACTTCTCCCCCGTAGACATCAAGTGTTCTTACATCGAAGCCTTGATGATTTTAATCTTTTAAAAAGCTTATTTGGTGCAATTCTGACTTGTTTCTTTTACCGGATGTCTGCAAGAATTTGAAACAAACAATTTTGATGCACACTACTTCAACCATTCATCATTTAATGAAAAAATTTATGACGCTGTTCTTGCACAATCAATAAATGTTAATCCTTATTGCGAATCGACCTGGTCCCGCCCGACCCAGTACATCTTGCCCTGGTCTGGAAGATGAAGACTATTTTGCAGGTTTCGCATTTGGAAAACGGGTTTTTGAGCAAGCAAAGAACTTTTTCAGGCGGAGAAGTCAGGCAGATCGATTGAAGTATCCACGTCTTTCGAAGTTGACGTCGGACCAATTGAAAAGACCTATGAATTCGCAGCCGGTGCCGGAATCATCGCTGGCAGAAAGTTTGAAGACGGGAAGTAAGAAGCGCGATGAGTGCAAGTGTATTCGAAGAGCTTTTAAAATTTTAGGCCGAGTTTTGACAAGTCTAATTTTTCTGAACTTTTCCTCAGACTTTGCTCTCGTCTCTCGAAGTTTGGCCAGCTATCTCTCGAAGTTTTGTCAGGAGGAGAGCTGACGTGTCCTGTCGTAAAAACAACGATTTCCCGCTCATCGCAAAGTACCCTGTTAATATCAATATGCAAATCGACTCCTATATAGGGAGGAATCTGGTCCTTCTGGTCATCATTCCGGCATGGACACCAGCCTTTATCTCTCCATTCTCCTCTTTCTTCTCTTTTGCGTGGAATCCTTCGCTGAAGAACCTCCGCGGCTGTTCCGTCGTCTCTCCGAAGCGGAAAATGCGAACGTGCAAGAGACGTGCAGCGTTATCTCTGCAAACAACCGCCGCATGCTCTTCAACGCCACCGTTCTCCCCCCAACCGAGAGCAACTTTCTGGCACGCATCCATAATCCTCGTCACACGTTCACCGCTGCCCTCGTGTCGCCACGTCATATCTTGTTTGCTGGAGACCCGTGGTACAAAAGGGTGAACAAATCATATTGCGTTGGAGAGTACGTTCGGTTCCTGACAATTGCACGTAATCCTCTTTTTACAGTGACTATGTGCTGAGCGACGAGAACACTGCCCTATGGACCGCCGAGATCAACAGAAAGGAGACCAAATTGATGCCAGCTCCGAATCTTCCACTCAGTCGAATTACTATTCTCGGAGGGTGCCAGTGGAAGAAACCACCAATGAGGATGCTGACTGTTTTCGAATTGAAAAACAGCTTGAACTTCTCGGAACTAATCCGCCCAATCTGCCTGCTCAACAATGAGAGTCTCTTGACAAACGACACTGAACTCTATCTGTATGGCGCCGGAGGAGTGTTTCTTAACGAAACAAAATTGAACGCGGAAGTTGGCAACAGAAAGACGGTGTTTAGACAAAGTTCCGTTTGTCCACCAAAGACCGGGAAGGAATTCATTTGTGGTTTTTCTGATGCAGACTTCTGCTTTGTAATATCCATTCTTAACTATACGTTCTTTACATTTTTTTGCAGTCCGATTATGGCAGCAGCTTTGTGATGGATGTCGACGGTCGTAAACATCTTGCTGGTCTTCTTGCTTCTCACGGCTGTGAGTTGTCAACTTTTGAAACAAATCAGCGTTAACTTTTAGTTAATGCATCTGTATTTAAATGTAACGGATCAACGAACGCATCCAAGCTCCCCCTTGCCTTCTACCCAATCACTAACTTCTCGACTCGTTTGTGCGACGTCATCGGACTGTGCCCCCGAGGAAATAGTTCCCAAACTGAAGCAGTCACCGAACAGACTCCAACCACTCCAACCGTCAACACTTCCAAGACGCTTGCCCCGGCTGAACCTGACAACTCGAGAGGAGAGGTGTACGTGTACACCGACAAGCCGCGGCCGATTCGCAACTGTTCCAGATCGTCTCCGCCGAAACCGAAAGAAGATTTGCACGTTCACATTTTTGTTTGAGTATTTTTTCTCCATAAAGTTCATTGAATTTCACTTATTGATTTGAACTAGGAGATCAATATCGAGTTTGAAGAATAAGATGAGTTGCGATTGATTCATCAGGAAAACCGAGTTCGTCTCGATCCTGCTTCAAAACTCGGCATGATTGATCAAATTCGAATACTGCCTGTATTCGCGGCGTTCTGGTTTCTGAAAACATATACATAATTGGTATAACTGCGTAATCGCTCAGCGAGCTTGGAGACAAAATTCCACTTACCGCTTCCCAGTTCTTATTAAGGTCCTCCCATTCATATGGCACTGCACTTCTTTGCGGCGGTACATAGTTTGCCACCTGTAATCACATAGATTGCCAATTTGTCAAAATGTTAAGGAGACTCACTTCATCACTTTGTTTAATATCCCAATCGTGGTTGAGTGGCGTGAACATCTGATTGTCTTTCGATCCGAAAACGACCGTATTTACCGGACAAATGTATCGCTTGTCGCCAATCCTCTAAAACAAATTATATCCGATGAACTTTCAACAAATCTTACAACTGGTTTTGTCAAATCTGCATTCTTTTTAGAATTGTTTCCATCAGATTTCTGCAAATCATGTATTCCTTAGTCATCAAAGGAACAGGTTTTTTACCAACCAATTTTTTGTCGGTTTCCTCGTGTGAAAATTGGAATGTAATCGGAACAAGAATCTGCGACAATCAAGTTTTCAGTTTCAAGTCAATGTTCGGTGGGTACACCGCAGTTCAACTTACCGATGGAGGTCGTTGATTTTGATCAAAGTATTTCACGTTCTGCCGATTTGGGGTAATGAGAACTGGAATTGGATTATACTCTCGTGGTCTGAGCGGTTCAGTCGGTGCCTGTAATGAGAACAAGTGAATGCAAGAGGATATTTGATAAACGAACGGATTCTTCGGTGGACTGGTTATCGAGCTGATCGTTCTCAATCAAATGGACCTGCAAATAATTGGAATTGTACAATCTCATGCACTAAAAACAACATTGATTACTAGTGGCTTCATAACTCTATCGTCTGCAGGATTGATCGCGGTGTGACTATCCATATTTCTTTGCGGAACTTCAGCATCGTCGTCCGGAATCTGCAACAAAGTATTTGCAATACATTCACAATTCCTATTCTCAATCCCAACTCACTTCTTTTTTTATTTCCACCGCTTTACTAGATTTTTTAACATTACCATCACTCGGTTTTCTCAAATCTACAGATTTTTTAGCGGCTCCAACGGTGTTTGTCGGAGTAGGAGGCGGAATCTGGGGACAAGAAAGTTGTGAAGAACATAATACACTTCAACCTTAGTTTTTGAGCTCACCGCCACTTTTGATTTCGTTTTCTGTGTTTTGTTTTGTCCTACACTTGCTTCCTTCTGCTTTCTTTTAACGGGAGGTGCTGGGCTGGGAGCTGGTGGGCAAATGTTGGAAGGATTCTGCTGTACGGGGATGAATGAGTATGCAAAACAATCTCGTAACTCACTGTTTCTTGAGAAGGCAAGTTCCGTACTTTGGTTGCTTGCGATTTTTTCACATCCTCTTGAACTGCTGGGCGGGGCACAGTCGTTTTCTGTGACTTTTCAGCCCGTTTTTTCTGGTTCTCAATCACAGTCTCTATTTTACTGTTCTTCTCCGCAACCAGCGAATGATTTTCGGATTCTTTGCGTACATCCATGACCTGTATGACCGGCGCAGCGAGTGGTGTGCTCTCCAATTTTTGATGGTCATCAATCGGTTCTTGTTTATACACAGTCTTGATAATTGGGGGAAGCACTTTCGAAATAAGAATGTCTTCCAGTGACAAGTTGAAAGACTGGACAACAGAAGATTTTTCAGCACACATGTTTTCCTGTAATTGCCTTATATAGTGGAAAATTTGTTATTTCTTACAGATGCGGTTGCAGGAACTAATATTTTAACAGTTTTCGTTTCGACAATAACTTGTGGAGGTGCACGACGGACAGTTTTGAGCAACACAACTGGCTCCTGTGATTTCTCTTCACAGTTTACAGAAGAATTATCCAGAAGCTGTAAATTGTCAGACTAAAAGAGAAGGTGAACGATTGGACTGACATTCACATTAATTGGGTATTTCCAGCGATTTTCAGAATGGAGAGGAGTAGCCAAATGTTGCTGCAACAAAAATGAGTATGCAGATCGTTCTCGTAACTCACCTCTATTTGAGTTGGTACCTTGGTTGCTTTCACCAGTTTTATATTCTTTTTAGTATCTGAAATGTTGCCAGCCAAAGGTTTGTCAACGAGGGGCACACTAGTTTTCTGTGACTGGAAGTTGCGGATTTCTAGTTTATCACTCGTCTGCAATTGAGTTCATTCTGCTTCTGTTTATTTTTTACCGACCTACCGTTGGGGATTTCTCAGTTTCTGTCTGATTGTGAATTTTCTTGATGGTTTCAGTCTTTTTGGCTGATTCCTCTTGTCCCATCAATTGATTCAGAACCACAGAGTCCATTTCATCACGCGAGCTTTCCCGACTTTCCGACTGAAGCTTGGAGATTACCTACAATAATAGAGGTGATTTCCGTCTGAAACTTCACTTCAACTCACGATAACTTTTGCGAGAGTGTCCTGCATTTCCTTGCATCGCTGAGCTAAGTCACTCGTGTATTTCTGCGATTTGATTTCGGAGCTCTCTGCTGAGCTCTGCTCGCGTTTTGCCGGTCCAAGTCGCCAGCGTAATCTTACTGCCCGACCAATCGGTACTTTGAACTGTAATGGAATATTGACGCTTTTAACTTTGTATCTCAACTTACTATAGGCTCGGGCGGATTCTCAGTCGGAAGCTGATTTTCAGACTTTGTTTCTGGATTAGTTACTGCTGTAGCTGGTAAATTATTAGACTGCTGCAAAAGGTTTGTTTCAGAGGCCGAAGAGATTTCAGACGATAGTTTTTTGTTGAAAAGTTGTTCATTTTGGTCCTATAACTCATAATGAAATACATAGATAGTACAAACTTTATTCTTACCACCTCTTTCTCGTCACGAATCTGGTCTCCTTGACCTACTGAATTTATAATTTGCTCTGAAACATCACTATCGATTTTTTCTTCGCTTGGATGAGCCACAATTCTAGAAATCTTGACATTTTCTAACTCGTCAAGGTCAACAAGCGGCCTTTTCTTTGAATGAGTTGGTAATTTAATCTGAAAATTGCTTGTGGTTTGATTTGTACGTTTTCCTACGCGTACAGTCGATTGTGATGATAGTTCATTATCTTTAGCTTGTACCTCGTTTGTAGCACTTGCCATTGACTTGCTGACGGCCTTGATTTGTGGATTTTCCACTGCTACAGCCTTGCTCTTTTTCAAAACACTAGCATGAGATTCGCTAAGGATCTTAGCTTGTGGCTTGTTGACAGTACTAGTCCGTTCTTCGTTTCCTATTCGATACTGTGAGTTATTCCCAATCACAGAACTACAGGGATTGTTGGAGGAACCAGACTGTAACCGGCTTACAGAACCAGCACGTGGATTGCTGACGGGACCATGACCAGTTTGCGGCGTGTTAACAGAACTAGCACGTGGATTGCTGATGATGCGATCCTGCGGCATGTTGTATTGCACGCGCGCGGCAGATGAGTTCTACAATTTAATTTGATCTGTGATTAGAGCTGTTGTATGCTTACCGTATTATAAGCGGCGACGTTTGGCTGCATTCCGCGTGGCTGCATTAGGTTAGTGTGCATCTAAAATAATCTGTTTTGCATGAACCCTTTCTCTAACATACTCTGATTGATGGGTTCTTATCCATCTCCCAGTGTACTCGTTTCTGGAATTTTTCTCATTGTAATCTTGAAGTCAAATTTCAAAACTCACAACTTGATTTGCTGGCTGTTCAGTTCTTCTTACAAGATCGAAAGCTCTTTTGAACTGAAAATAAAAGTTTACGACATTTCAAACTGATTATCACTTACGATCAAGTCTTCTCGGCTTGGTTTCTGCTCTTTTTTAACATGCACTGGCACAAATTGTTTCTCCGGTGGGATGTGATCAGATTGTTGATTTTCCAGCGCTCCCAGTTCGACATCATCTTCCGTCTTTATTCCCGTCAAGATCTGATGCATTGACTTCTGAAATAGTAAAGATTGAAAAAGCTAATCGGTTGGCCGCACTGCTCACCAAATACGTCATGTCTTGCACTTGAATTTGATCTCGATCTACAGTTCCATTCAATTTTGCATGCTTTCTTTCCAATTTTCTTGGGTCTTCATACGTCCACGTTAATCTAACCATCAGCATGTGATGTTTTCTTGCTGCTGCTCTTGTGTTTCGCATTTCCGTTATCCGATGGCAGAAGAATTGTTCGTAGAAATTCTTCGGTTTGTTTTCCATTATGCGGTTCATTCCCAAAGTGGTTTCGAGCATTGTGAAATAAACAAAGTCTCTTTCAGTCTTGGCTTGATTTCTTCTCCAGATTTGATCATCGATGTAACTGTACAATCTCCCTTTGTAAGTCTTACACTGGGCAGTTTTCCTGAACATTAGCCTGCCAAAACGAGAGAAAAATGTCCGAAGCGACGATTTTGGGAGCGAGATTCTTTCGAGCACGGCCATGTCCCCCTTCATCTGCGTGTATGAACACACCAGCGCAAACAGACGGATCTGCTCGAAAAATTTTTCATTCGACTCGAACAGTATATCGTCATTGTCCTCAAATTGATCGATTTTCTCCGTAATAATCTTTTCTCCTGAGCCCAAAACTCTCAGAAAACTGATGAAAGCTAGTGTCCATGCCACTAATGTCGGTTGAAGCGCGGTGATGAACTTGCTCACAAACTTTTCAACTGTCTGGAAACAATCCTCGTCGGCAAGAATGCGAAAAAGAAGTTTATTATAGTCTCGAGCCAGGTCAATCTTCTGAAACAAATGCTTTTATTTGAAAGTTTTATTTGAACTGCTTTACCGATTCGAACGAGTGTACGTTTGTTGAGGATTGCCAACAGCGTGCGGTGTTAAAATCCCAGCTTTCCTTTTGTAATTTGAAGAGTTTCACGTTTAGTTTAGGATGTATTTCGCAGTACATTTCCACTTTCTCCCGAATGATTTGTGCCATCTTAATAAGAAAGATTAGATTATTGTTTTCAGAGGGTCACAATTCCACTCACCGGTCCATAGGAAATTGGTTGAGGCGGGTCTTTGTCGCTTGAAATTAGTGATTTATATTTCGCAATCAGTTCTTCTTCCGTACATTCGGGAGGTCTCTTTTTGATTACAACCGGAGGCGGTTTGCCTCCCATACTAACGTTCCTTTTCATTAGAACTTTCCCAAGTTTTTATCTGAATTTTAAAGATGAAAAGAGTGGAATCTTAAAAGAAAACTATGAATAGAGTTGAGAATTTTTTCACAATTTTTGAAACAACAGAAATTGGCAGTCCGTAACTTAAATGAGGCTGGTGATCACAAGCGTGCTTGATTTCACTTTACAGTAGAAAAGCATTCCAAAATACAGTACGAATGGGAAAATTGACAGATTCGTCCCTTATTGATGACCTAGATGAGCATTAAACGAAAGGAACAGAGGAATATGACACTGTGAAAAGGGCGGTAAACATGTGGAAAAACTTCTAAACTCTCGCTTCGTACAAATGAAATGAAATGCTAATGCCACAAGAAATGCTAATGCCGCTTTTCTATTGACAATAGACAATTTTTCCTTTTTGGTGCGATACACAACGAGGCTTGAAGCGAGAGTTTAGAAGTATTTTATGGGAACCGACAGGACCAGGAGTCCTTAGCTCGCTTCCGATCTTAGTATTCCACTTCCGCACAGACGCCCTGATAAATGTCGCTCTTATTCCCCCTCTGCTGATGAGAAGAAAGATGGGCGAAACTTCTGTCAACCAACTGATTTCAGTCCACAAGAAGGTTGGATCAAACTAGAAAGAGGAAAACTCGAAACTTGCAAACCTCCACCGGAAAGACGCGAGACGAGTTGAGACAATGATGAAACAACGATGAAAAATAGAAAACCAAGGGGCGCGCTAGACTGACTCTCCAATCGCGGCCAAGAGAACTCAGAGAAGGGCATGTGCGCTGATAGATCCGGTCGGGAAATGAGACGCCGACAAATGACACGGTGCACTAAATTCAAACTACTCTTCAAAAGCAATGATAACCGCGTTGCTTCGCAACTGGTCGACCGACCGACCACGCGTACTCACTAATTAGCACACGAGCAGTCTGAGAAAGGGAAATGTTGTGGATATGTACAAAACATGTGAGTACGACGAGGACAACGGCGCTTCTGATCGAAGTGTGAGAAAAACAAAGACTTGCGTAAAAAGAATCATATTCGAGAAGGGAAAGCACCTCGTTTATAGTTTGTTCGATCTGCAGGCTGAGAAAAAAAAAGAAGTTTCACACGGTAAGGGTCCGATTTGCTGAGACGCATAACAAGGGAGGATGATTGTAAGGACTATTGGGGCATTTTAGAGTACAAGCTTCTAGAACCACAGACTGAACTTTTAAAATGAGACCGCAACAGTTTTAATCTCTGGTGAGCATCAGTTGGGGTGATTAAGTCAAAGTTATATTAAAACGGAGCGCGAGTAGCTTTTTCATGGTTTACTTGAACCTTGCACTCGAATGCAGGCTGAACTGAATAGAAATCCGCATGATGGTTGACCACAAATGTTGTGAAGAAGGCCGAAGGGGGTGCTCAAAACAAAAAGGTAGTAATGACGCGAATGCGCGAAATAGTTTGTCATCCCGCGATGCTACCAGGCAACCGATTAACACTCGTGCTTTTGTTGATTAGCAGAACATTACTTCTCTTGACGCCCGCAACTTCTTGGAATCAGTTCTCACGACGACTTTATTGTTTCTGCAACTTAAACGCATGCATAAGTTTAGTATCCAATCAGTGACAAGTTCTCATAACGGCACTTTTCTTGCCGTGCGCTCTTAAAAAGTGATTCTGAGTGAGCCGAGAAGTTTCTTTTTCAATCAAACTTTGTTTCATTAGTTGCGAAGAAAGTGAAATTTCATTAGTTTGAACGTAAAAATTAGTCAGCCCAAACTCAACTCGAAAATTTCCAGTTTATTATTTAAACCCGGGTGGCCATGCCCGGCTATCCTGTTGTTTCGCTCAAACGCACCCGCCAATTATAACCTCTAATTTTCCAATATTTCGTAGATTTCGCATTCATGAATGCAGTCATGATTCGAGGAATTTCTGCTGAAGTGATGGAGGATTGGCATTATAACCAAATAGACGCACTGGTAAAGTTCGGAATGGCGGTGAGTGAAACTACTTTTTTTCTGATATGTATGTGTGTGACAGGGCCAGGCAAAAGGCCGGCTCAGGCTTTTCAAAGGCCTTCCGAGGACTGGACATCCGATCGGATTCAAACTTTGAAGGCTTCCTAGCCTTGGATTGAAGTATATTGGGTCCAAGTGTTAGACTGTTTGGATTATCTGGTCTAGAGATATACTGGAGGCCAAAAAGGCCGGGTTTTTTTTGGTTACAACAAAAGTTACGACCTTTCCGGCCTCTGATCCACGAAAAGCTTGGGAAAAGCAGCGTTTGTCCCCTTGCCCAGTGTGTGTACACTTTTTTCTTTAGGAAACCGAGTTCGAGTACGACCGATCGCAATCAACCTTGGAGAAATATCAGTATTATCGTCATCGTTATGTGATTTTTGCCTCTTTGATTCGTAATGCTGTTGGACCTGACGATGAGGTATCCGTAGTTCAAACCCGTTATTCTCACGTGTGCATTCCAGTACCGTCAGCACATCTGGCACACCCTAGAACACTTGCTGGAGAGGAATGAGGCGCGGTTCCGGGATCAACTGGCCAGACATCGAAACTTCTGGAACATTCCCTGAAAGATATTCGACTACTTGATATGAATTAATCTGTTTGGGTCATGTGTTTGAGAAGGTCTCAGTTCAAGACTAGAGATAATGACAGTGTCTAGAAAACCTAATAACCTGTTTGCTCCCGAACATTTTTGTGTCCTGAGTGTACTCACATCACAAACTCTTGAGCTCGGCCAAAGAGAAAGCTCAGAACATTCGACTCACTTTTAGTGTTTTCACTTCTTGATTATGTTAGAAAAACGAATGAATTCGGTCTTTTTTCTGATTTGACATTTAGACTTGTTAATTTTTCGAACCATTTACCTGTTCAAGTCACTTGTTTGAATGTCGATGCGAAATAGAATGGAATGTATGTAGAGACTCAAAGGAAATATATTTTCTGAATGACGTGTAATTACTACTTGAATTCTTCGTTGCCAATAGAAATTATATGTTTCTTGTTCTCGATCCAGAGTAGGAGAAGCAAAACTACTATACTTGTTGCCTAGTTCCGCATACATGGATACCGAGCTTCTGCTTGTCACCTTTTCTACAGTATACTTCCCATTGTATTACCTATGCTGCTGTGGAGTACAAGGATTTCTGTTCTATGCAATCTTTTCGAGAACTCCATCGTTTCTAAAGCATATGAAACGCTTTTTTTATCCGTCGAACGCATGTAACTTCATTTTGGCCACATTAACGTTTTCCTCGCAAATTAGGTAAGCTCGAATTCTTATTGACTTCGAGTAATTTGAAAAGTTAATGTAAGACTCGTGAATAACATTGAAACACTGGCAGTGATGTGCAAAGGACCGGTGACTTATTTCGGACCATTTTGGTGCACTGTCAGTTATACGCTTTTTGTGGTATTCTGGACACTTCTTTTAATTAAACAAATGAATTCACATTTAGGGAGCAGGGTCGGTTGTGGGTGTTTTGAATATGCACACTTTATACTTCAAAATGCTGAAAATACGTGGCGACAATAACGCCAAAGTGAAAAACCGATTATTCGCTGTGCATTATTTGTTGCCAGTGACTCAGATGGTAAGCGGCCATGTACGTACGTATTCGATAAAGTCATGTGGCATTTTCCAGATTTGTTATTACATAGCCCCTTTTGACATTGAGAAAGTCGCTACAGAAGTTAAAAGGGTGCACTCTTCATACAACTTTGACGTGTACGACACAATTGGTGGGCTGGCAAACTCTCACAGCATCTCGGGAGTTCTAAATACTTCCATAACTATCAGTCTTGCATTCATTGCGCCGATATTCGGTTTTATTTGGAGAAGCAACTGTCGGAAGGTTCTGATGGCAAATCAAACGAGATTGTCGCGGCAAACTATGCTCAACTTCAAATCTGTGCTTGATGTGAGTGACCTTTGATCTGAACATGATTTGATTTATATCTTCGGCAGGGATTGGCTTTTCAAATTGCAATTCCACTGATTATTTACCTGCCGTGTGGTACACTGTTCATGTACAACAAATATACAGGTAATCCGCCACCATTATGCGTTTATTCCCGTTTTGTTATTTCAGCCGGACGTTTGATAGTTCCAGAGTTCACATTTCAAATTCTTCTGAGTCTAAGTGCTATCACTGACCCTGTCATTATCATCTACTACGTGCGTCCGTACAAAGAAGCGATGAGAAGCGTGTTTTTTTGTGGAAGTAAACTTAGACGACTTGTATGTTATCAGATTTCAATTAAATCACCAGGGAACACTCCGAGTTTATGTGTCTGAACACTTTACGAATGCCAACTCTCAGAAGTGTGTGTGTAAAACCAAGCGCACAACAATCCGAAGAATATCTCGTGACCCATGATTTTTCCAAAGCACTAGAATAACTTTGACTGCGCGCTGTTTTGTAAGAAAACTTTTGAGAGTTAGGATCCGGACATTTAATGATGTGATGATCAGAGATAATTCAGACAGAAATATAAACTTGGAGGGTTCCGTGGTAATCTGGCAGAAAATAAATGTTCTCAGGCAATTGGAAACGTGATTGAGACTTCAAGCACGTTCATAGCTAGCAGACAAGCACGATATCCACCGATTCTTGTTAGTTCAACAGTACGCTGAACAGAAAATTGCATTTTTGACTCCTTCCATTGGTACATATTCTTCAAACCTTCCAGAAACTACTGTAGCATCACCCGGTCAAGATTCATGTTTCAGATTTTAATGATTGGATCGAAATCGCCCCCAAACTAATGAGTGGCGCCCTTCGAAACGATCGATTCTATACCCATTGAGTACTTAAAGATTGCTCTATGCTTCGGCCGGACAACGAAAACGAAAATTACATCATGTGAGTAGAAACAGAGAATCAAATCTGAGCACACGTAAAGCACGAAATTCTAGTTCCGGGAAATTAATTGATGGGTTGAGAATATATAAAACAATTCAAGTTGTAGTGGGATCAATTTCAGACCAAAACATTCTTGCGCACAAAGATGAGGGACATTCAGGATGTCACTCAAGAACAGTATCACTTCCCGATCTCTAGTTCATGTGCTCCCTTTGAACGTTGTATTTTGCCATCACTGACTTTCCTCACATGTGCATGCACGATCGTAAATTTACTTTTCCTTCTCTACTTTATCTGCCCTGAAAAAGGCTCGGGAGGTTGTCCTGAAAAGGATTATCTTATCTGGTAAGGTCTGAGAGAGCCCTGAAAAAGGCTCGAAAGGTTGACCTGAAAAGGATTATCTTATCTGGTAAGGTAAGGTCTTAGCTGGTGTATTATCATCATTGAATACTATTTCGTCAAAAACGTTTTTTGGAAATTTTCTCTCCCTCTTTCTATCGTTTTCGTTGTCTTTCGGTGCCCGCATGACCCAACTCTCCGCCCAATCTTATCGCTATATATTATGGTGTTCAGAAAACCGAAAATTGTTGTCGAGAAACAAAGTTTCCAGTCTTTAGTACAGTCCGAGTGATTGATCTGTCTCTCTCTCTCTCTCGCTTCCCAAACCCTCTTTGCCCAACCGCTACCATCTCTTTCAACGTGCGTTTCACAGATATGAACAATGCAGACTTCGTGCCTGACCAGCAATGGGTTTCGCCGAGAGTGAAAGTGCGCTGACACGTTAAATCAAATTTCAGAGCAAATGTGTTTCAGACTGCCATTCGGAACCTTCACCAATTCCTGGTGGAAGAACTCAACGAAGAGGCAGCTAATATGGGTCTTGAAGGTTTATGATTGAGGTACTTTCAGATGGGACGCAGGCGCAGAAGACATCGTCGAATCTTGTCCCTCACCGCCATGGCCACAATGATCGCACAAATGAGGGACTACGCCGACACCCCGTACTCTCCCGACCTTCCTGCCAAGTTCAATTTTTCGTTCCTCTGCTACTATAACTATGCCCGTGAAGTTTACCCCGATGTCATCCGTCCTATGTAATCAATTTTTCCATGTAAGTAAATCGTTCAATAAATTTTCAATAAATGTTCGATGTAAGAAATTTTGAATTTTGTTATGCAATCCACGTTGCAAAATGGTATATTCCCTCGAAAAGGACCTCGAGGAAAGAACTCAGATTGCATCTCCGTTTTAGGCGGCGTTTATCAAGATGTTCCAAATCTGCATGCAGCCTTGTTCGCACGCATTTCGTGTTTTCTAAGCGACGTTTCTACTTTCCCTAATGAAAGACTCTGGAAAAGGATTTCTTAAGGTATGAATCACGGGAAAACTTTTCAAACTTCAGAAAGACGAATTCAGTCAGATGCGACGTACTTCTTCTTGTTAGAATTAGCGTCCGCTTTCGTCCTTTCTGCCGCCCATAATGTTCTTTTCTTCGTTCTGGATATCAAACTAATCGCCACCAGTTTTGCCCAGTTTCTCTTCACGTTTCTCTTTCTCAAACTCATCCATTTTGCCAGTTTCATACCGACAGCTCAAATTCCTCAAAAGGTGAACGTCCAACATCTTTTTTTCCGAATCAATTGTAGTTTTTAGAACTTGTTGCCGGCTGCCGGTGCAAAACTTCTTGAAATCATCATTGCTTCGTTTGCAAACTCTCACAACAGAACAGGAGAACTCTTTCTTGTCAGATCGTTCGACTTTCTTTTCTCTGGAGCTGTTATTTTTTATTATTCCGCGCGGGCGTCGAACAAAAACCCGCCAAAGTATGATTACTGGCTTGTTGTAAGTGAGCTCACTTCTCTTCTACATATGTACAGTTTTTTTTAAATCTATTTCTAGGCCCCTCTAGCAGTTTCGGTCTCCATCGCCTGGCTGGAACCGGGACAAATTGAGTTTACCGCTCTTTCTTTCTTTGCCGCATTACTACTTCCGTTTGCCAAGGCACTGTCATTGATTCTGCTCAAAAACGGAATGGAATGTCAAGGAAAAGGTACCTCGAAACTTCTTGTACTCTTTTTCATGAATCTTCTAGGACACATCAACGCCTTCATGCTGGACTACACTCGTCTTGTCTCTCTTCTCCTTTTCCTTCCGGCCCTTATTTCTTACTCAAGGACCAATGTTGAAGTGACCGCCAGTTGGGAATCCATCGACTACGTTAGTACTCAGGATATTATCAATCTATGAAACAAACAGTTACAGGTTCTCATGTCCCTTTCCTTCCTCTTCATGATCTGTAACCTCTACAGTCAACTGTGGCTGTTGCTGACTCTTCATCCGCACACATACCTGATTCTGGACAATTCACGTAACTTGCTGGCTTCGGTAAGTTTCAGATATCTTCGCAAAAACTGATTTTGGCTTCAATTTCTCAGTGCGCCCAATGGATCATTCAAAACATGGCACATCCAAGTCTGATCGCTTTCGGAGCTAAGCTAGTCGCTTTTTCGTCACTCTTCAGAATCTGGACACGATCCTAACTCTTTTTTTTCGTTTTCTCGTGATTACGTTAACTATGAAGCAATTTATCAAACTATCCGCAATGTTCCCATGTTTTGCATCGATGAGCAAAAAAAGCGCCGTCGCTAAGTCGGTTGACCGGAGACATTCGTTCTCATCGCATTTCTCGCACGCATTACTTTATTCCCGTTCTAAACGCCGTTCACAATATCTTCTTCGAATTCTTATTGTTCTACAAGCGACACCGCTCCCATTTGCACAGTCCAGCCGGAAATTGAAATCGAAGAAAGCATGTTCGTCAAAAAAACAAGCATTTTGTCAAAACAGCCAGTTTCAGCTTCCAGGCACCGGAATTGTCCCCGGCTCCTAAGGAGAAATGCGATTGTTCGTCGTGTTGTGAGTGCTTTCTGGAAGTATGCATCAAAATGTTCGACTGCCGACCAATCTGAAAGCGACAAAGTTCTACTTTGCTCTCAATTTCCTTCAGAGGGCAAGAAATTGACCGCTTCTGTCAGTTTCTCCACCCAGTCCCCGTGTTTTCTGTTTTTCTCCGATCGCCAAATTGAATGACAATAAACTCCTTTGACTGATAGCCATTTCAACGACAAACTCATTTATGTAAGTGGGGTTTGTGTCTTACTGATATCATTGTGCTCCTAATATCCTATAAACCTGTCAAAAAAAATGGGAGAAAAAAGCGACGCGACTTGATGGCGCCACTTCCATGTGGCCCTGTAACACAGAAGGGGTAGCGTCGGCTCCATCTATCACACCACCACTATACGATTGACGCAATAACCGGATTCAGATAACGATGCTTTGATAACAAAGGTTTTCGGGAATGTATGCCAGAAATCACATGACTTAGAGTTCGACTGAACTTTGGAACGCTCTGGGTATAAACATCAAACGGGCGAATTTCACTCGAACAATGCATGGGTCCTTTTAGAGGGATCCACGATGGGCTGCACATAAATAATACGCCCGCTAGCGTCGCATCCTCCGTGTCCTTTTTGCACTTTCGGAACAAATTTTTCAGAAATTTCTGAAAATAAACAGCCTTCGAATAAACCGAAAGTGCGCAAAGGGCACTGAGAATGCACCTTTTCCATTCTGCACCCGTCACCGTTTTTATTTTTACTGGTTTTCAGTCCGTCGTTCGCTTTTTGGACTCAATTCCACTCGCTTAGACGGCCCACGCAACCCGCGCGACCTGCTGCGTGCCGTTCGTGGCGAGACCCGCAGGGTGCGCGGGAAAATGCGCGCGCGAAACGACTGCCTGGTTGTTTTGGTCCGCTCATCTCAACGCACTCGTCATTTGTCTCATTTGGTTTTGGCGTGACCATCTTCTCGCATCCGCTCTTCTCCTGCGTTACCTGTTAATTGTACCCACGGATGACCTCGTTCACTTCATTCGATCCGTCTTTTACTACTTTGGCTGCGTCTCTCACTCTTGCGTTATCTCTCGCCTTCTTTAGCGACTACGTGGTTGTTTGTTTAGCAACTCACGTTCATCGATTATCATTTTCAAAGGTTTCCTTCTGCAGTGCACCTATAAGCTTCTATTTTCGCCAATTTCCGTTTTCCACCGCTTCCGCATCGTTTAATTCACATATTTCATTTTCAGATGCGAGACCTCATCCTCAATCTGTCATGGCTGATGATCATCATCGCCTTTTTCGTCTTCCTCTCCTTGAAGCTCGGATTGACTGCTGGATACGGAAGATACACAAACAGCGACCATTGGGGACTGCCGGCCTCCATCGCCTGGTTCGTCCAAGAGGCGCCGTCATTCTTCATTCCGCTCTACTTTATGTTCCTAGCGACTAGTCCCTGCGGAGCCTTCCTGAACCTGCTCTTCCTTGCTCATTACTTCAACCGGTACGTGAATTTTGAACAGGTTCCAACTGATCAGAATGAAATTGTCTTGGTTCAGAGCTATCGTCTACCCGTATAGACTCCGCTCGAACACCACCTCTCCATTGTACATCATGCTTTCCGCAGTTGTCTTCTGCGCCTACAATGGATTCATTCAAGGAGCCTGGAATTCACTTTACCAGGAATGCGACGACTCCAAGTTCTTTTACATTCTCGGTAAGTAGGATTAATTTCAGTACTTTAGAATACGGGGACTTTCAGGTGCTCAGATTTTCCTCATCGGAATGTACATCAACTGGCGTGCCGACGCCATTCTGCGGAATTTGAGAGCCCCCGGAGAGACTGGATACAAGATCCCGAACGGATTCCTCTACGACTACATCACCTGCCCTAACTACTTCGGAGAGATCGTGGAATGGATCGGATACGCAATCGCTGCCCGGAGCCTTCCCGCCGTCGCCTTTGCCATCTTCACCATCGCCAACATCGGCCCGAGAGCTTTCAGCCATCACCAGTGAGTTGATTTCTCATTGCTACTAGCAAACTCTTCCAATTTTCAGGTGGTACAAAGAGAAGTTCCCCGAGTATCCGAAGGAGCGCAAGGCCCTGATCCCTCTCTTCTTGTGAACATGCACTATCACCCAATCCATGTAAATTCCTCGATTTACCCATTTCTATATCCAACATTCCGTTGACGGACAACCCTTTGATGTGATATTTCTTCCCACGTGATGAAGTGTATCCCTGTGCAACCCATGACTTAGTGGTTAGACTATTCATTCTGAACAGAACAAAAGGGAAAAACAACTCATATCATTTCACAGTTGATTAAGTTCAAGCACTGATGCTGTCGAGGTACGCCTTTCTAATTGGCTGTTCGTCTCCGTTTGCTTGGCGGTTGAAGGCGGTCCACTTTGGGTTGTTGCGGAACAGACGGAGGGCAACGACGTCTTCCTAAAAGTCATTTTTCACCAAAGCTAAGGATTTTGTTTTCTTACTGAGCGATCAGTGGTGAATCTGTGATAGATTCCTGGCGGAAGGAAGACGAAGTCGCCACGACGCACCGGGATGCGGATCCATTCTTCCTACAATATCACATTCAAAATTGACTCTGCTCAAAACTGAGCGTATTACATCTTTTCCGCGAACATCGAAGTATCCGACTCCGTGCTTGACGATGCGGAGCTCTGCGTCGTCGTGGAGGTGTTCCGCAAAGAACATGTCCAACTGAAATGGGCAGTTTCTATTGGAAACCAGTGATTCCACTCACTTTGCTCTCGAAATCGGCCATAGTGGCACGGCAGATGTGGACCTCGTCGTGGAAGTTCATTTCATACTTCTTGATAAGACGATCCAGGTCCTCTTGTACGTTAGCGTCATCAAAATCGACCTGAATGAGTGGCGTGCCCATCGAAACCGAGACAGAATGTTACCTTCGTGCATTCGACTCCAATCTTCTGTAAGTCTTCGGCAGTAGCCTCTCGATTCGGCGAGAATCTCGCTTCATCCTGACGGTTTTCCTTGGTGACATCAGTCATGTAGTAGGCCATTTCTGCAAGCAAAAAATAGTGACCAATCGATCGATAATCGTGTCAAACGGCGAAAGAGCGTGTTGATGGTCGAGGCAATAGCGCAAACGACCGTCTTATCGTTGATATCATTGGGTCACAGCGAGTTGTTGACTAGTCACTATCATTTTTTGTGACGTGGATTGCGAAACCGACTGAAAATGTGTACTGTTGAGAGGGAAAACTGTAAAAACCGCCCACATTGGGGCCATTTGTCCGCAAAACAACGTGATGGTGTTTGCACGCAGGTGGTCGACGAGCGCTCCAGATGAGTGCAAGTAGCCTATTATTTCGATAAAATTAAATCCAAATGGAGAAAGGAGAAAATAAAAATTTAAAGGACATGTTCAGACAAGAAGTGATTTTCAATTATAGGTTTTTCGAACGATTTTTGAGACCAGAACTGATTGAACCCAAACTTTTCAAGCTTTTTTCACTTGGATTGAAATACATTGGGTTGAAGTTTCAGACCGATCAGACTATCTGGTTTATGGTATGTGGTTTGGAAGCCGGACAAACACAAAAAGTGCGATATATTTTAGACCTCGAATCAATATATCATTGGACAAGACAATCCGATCGGTTTTCAACTTGGATCAAAGAAACTCCAATTCAAGTAAAAAAAAAACCTGAAAAGTTTAGTTTTGATTGGAATATCGAAACGACAATTTTTCGTCTGGCCAGTCCACTTTTTCATCCGACATGCTGATAACACATTTGAAACGAGATCTCCTGACAGCCAAAGCAATTCATCAGGATTATGTTCCTCAAAACGTGGATCCCTCATGTTCTCCAGCCCAATGGTGTTCGGTGTCTGACAAGAATGTAAACGTTCACGCAAACGAATTCAATTTTTCCATTGTTAAATTCATTCTTCTTTCTAGGAATAATGGTTTTGGGCGGGTTCCACATTACTGTTTCTTATCCGCCCTTTCCTCTTTTTTACCTTCTATCTGCTAGTGATATTGTCGTGACTGATAACGTTCATTCAATTTTCAGATATTTTCAATGATAACTGTTTCATCAATATAAACGAGTCATTTGCAGTGTATTGCTGCCATGTCCTCGAACGAGTACTTCCTTAATCCAAACCAGCCGACTCCTACGGCACAGGCTGGAGGAATCGTGCAGCAGCCTCCAGTGCTCGGAAACTTTGCTCAGCTGACGACGCCTACACAGAGACCACGTCTGGAGCCGCCAATTTTGTCCCCAATTGTTGATTTAACCGAACAGGTAAGGGTATCTGATGATCACTTACTGAGATCATTCCAACGGCATTAAGGTATTCCAATATCCATCTCAACAGAAACCAAAAGGTCCGTCGCTTGCTGAACTGTTGCACGGACCCCCGCTCTTCAATTCATATGGTCCGTCACCGAAAATTCTGGCGAAGAAGACACCGATTCCAAAAGTGGCGCCGAAACGGAAGAAGAAGACGGCGGCGTCCAAGAACCAACGTCAAGTGCTTGCTCCACCGGCAGTCACTACCCCACGCCCATTAGCTCTTTTCCAAAATTCGTTTGCGTACAACCAACAAGCGCAGGACGTCTTGCCGCTGCAGAATTTCCAACAGCATCTTCCTGTCTACAACGCTCCAGTTTACGGTGCACCCGGAGTCGGAGGGCCCGTAGGACTTGAAGGACCCAGTGGACAAGGAAGACCCGGAGGATTTGGAAGACCTGGAGAATTTGGAGGACCCGGAGGGTTCGGAAGACCCGGAGAATTCGGAAGACCCGGAGGATTCGGAAGACCCGGAGGGTTCGGAATACCCGGAGAATTCGGAGATGTCGGAAGTGTCGGAGCTGGTGGCGGACCCGGAGGACAGCAGTGGCCGCATGCTCCGCAAGTTCCGCAAGGCCTGAATCCTCCAGCTTATGAAGCCGGCGACATGACTTCTACAATGTATTCGCTCCTCTAAAGTTCACGGTGTTGCATTCTCCTAAAATTTTCTAGAATAATGAAGTTTGTAACAGAATCTTCAAACTTAGCCTGGGTTAAACATCAGACAGTGCAAAGTATTCCTTCGAAACGTTCTCTGCTTGCTTATCATTTCGACGAAAAGTGTCCGCATTCGACTATCAGAGATAATCAAAAATGTACATGATTTGTTCTTTCTGAGGGCGTCTGGACGCAATGGCGTGATTTTTCTAATCGGAAAGTTTGGAGGGAACACTCTGTGGCTAGATCGAAAGATTCCGCCTTTTGTTCGCCCGTCACATTTGATGGATTGATATGAAACTCGATGGATACGGTAGCCGTCCGATTTTCGCTATTACAACGCATGAAAAGAGAAGAAACTTTGATTTTTTGGTAGCCGACGTAGTCAGAGAATGCGTGATCAGTGATCAGGTCCTCGAACTGTTTCTATCCTCCAACTTTTGTTCAGAAATCTTTCTCTTATCCGTTAGCCTCTTTTTCGGTGTGGCTGATACGCTATCATTCACACAAATGGGTTTTAAATTGCATCAGGTTTGACGTCGCGCTTCCAGCAGTTTTCTTATCGAAAAACATTACAATCGAGGAAGTATTTACAACCGACGGCTATTGAATGGATCAGCGGCATGCTACAGTACACAAAATTCATTATCATTGTTCAAAGAAAGGGAAAAGTGAGAGAACAATGGTTTCCATTACATCGAAAGAGTAGAGGTTAATTTTTCGAAGGGGGAATAGTCGAAGTCGCGCGCGCCGACTCGTAGTCCTCAAGTTGATGGGGACCGGCAATCTGAAAAAAGTTCGAAACTGTATTTGAGAATTCTTCACGATGATCATCAACTTACCAAGTTTCCGTCATGCGACCGTTTCCGTCCGCTCGATGCCAATGTCTGTTTTTCTAAAGCATCTTTGAGCATTCCCTCGTAAATCTGCTCATCGGACCACAGAAGACGCATCTATAAGTGAATGTTAACGATAATTTCTAAAATTCTGGAATAATCCCACCAGGTTTCTGGTGAAAGTGTTTCGAATAGCATCCATTTCTGGAGGGAGGTGAGGCAGCTCTCCAAGGAATGACATTTCCAATGGCACGCTGCCGGGAGCGACGAGGGAACTCGCTTTCAAGTCCGTGGAAGCTATTTTCTTTGAGAAGTACTGTGGAGGATTGGACAACTGAAGTTGGAGCACGTTGACCGGAGTCGGTTTCTCAGGGATTGAGCACCATCTGCGGTTTTGTGGATTCAAAGATGCCCAGACAGGGCACTTGAAGGTGCCGTTCTCCGAGAAAGCGACGATCTGAATGAGGGTCTTCAAATTATTTTTCAGAAAAACCTGCTTTGTACTTGAAATCCGACACGGCCAAGTTCCCGCATGAAGTTCTCGTCGGTCGTCAGAAGGCAGTGCATCTTTCCCTGGGTGCACGCGCGGTGGAGCTCAAAGATCTTGAACTTTCGCCCAGTAACCGCAGGATTCGTTCCAAACTGAAAATGGTATCGGCAATGTGACAAGATCTCACCTCTTTCTTACCTGTGCTCCACTCATGGCAGCTCGTTCGCAAGTGATCAACGACTTCGAATGAGCGTCCCTTATCGGAGACACGCTCCTCTTTTATGTGTTTTTATCTGTGGAAAAGCAAGCCATTCAGTGTGAAAATGATACAAATCATGTGATTGTACAACTAGTCGAATATACTTTGATCATCGTACCTGGACATAATTATAAAGCCACTCTATTTTTGCGTTAACTTAAAGTGGTACCTTTCACTCATCAGCAAGGCTAACTAAAATTCCGGTGCAGGCTTTTCGAAGGCCTGTCGAGGTCTAGACTTTGACCCATCCACAGTAAGCCTATCGGTCCTTAACTCTGAAAACTTCTTGGATTTGAATTGAAGTATGTTCGGTTCAAGTTTCAGACCGATCGGGTAATGTAGTTCCGAGATATGTCGATCAGTGACCAAAAAGAAAGTTGTTTTAGCAAAAACCCAAGTGGCATGAACTCTGCTTCCAGAGATCAGAATTGGATTTGCATACAATTGGCGCTAGAAGATTAACTTGGCGAAATGACAAAGCTGACGAATGTAGGATAATCCGCGGACAAACGCAAGGTGACTGGAGGTTGTGAGGATGTCGGCTCATACTTCAGTCTCTTGTTTTTGTTGAAAGCAAGAATTTCCACTTGTCAGAACCATTGGTTTGTCTCGGGACACACTTCAAAATTTGGGCAAACTTCTGAGCACTACCATTCTCATCACAGCCCGCTTACTCATTTTCAAATTTGTCGTTTCTTATTTTAACGGGGAGTATAATATTGCGCTACCTCTGATCATGGGGTTCCTCACGTGCTCATTAGTAGAAGCTGCCCGATGTACTCAACTTGTTGATCTGCGGTTGTCGTGACGACGTTTCTATCTGTCGTCCTCATCGCGCGCTTACCTGACATCTCCCATTACTCAGCTCCGCCGGACAAGCGTATTTCACTCAGTTTCACTACTCCTTGAGCTACTGTAGTTCAACGTACATCTCCTGGCGACAATTGGCAAGCTCCGTAAGTTGCCCTATGTAACCATACATATGTACTCTCTTCTAATGGTAGTTTTTTCTTGATTTCTTCCGGAAACCGGTCATATCCAGATATTACTCTCCTCTCCTAAACATGTCTCTCTTTTCATAGTGTGAGACCGTAGGTACTTGATATCACAAGATCTGGAGAAATCAGAAGCGGTGATCATGATGATGATGACGCAGCTTGTCGCACCGCGTAAACAATCTTTATCCCTCTCTGCTCACGCATGCATGTTTTGTTACTATGACAATCATCATTCAACAACCCCGTTTCCGCCATTTGCTCATCGCTTTTGACCACATCGAATTCCTGCAGCATGTGGAACGGAATCAATGCTGTGCCGCACATCGTGTGCGAGGCGGATGCTCCTGGTCCGCAGCTTCACAGCGCTCCAGCTTTAACTTCTCCAAGTTGGGAACAGATGTGGCTCTTGTGGTACTGCTCAGAAAACGCTCGAAAGTCCGTTATACAAATCGCCACGATTCTGCCCAAAATGGGATTGGCTGTACGGGATCCTAATGTTTTCAATCCGCTGATCTCCGTCAATATGTTGACCGATCAACTCATTCAGCTGACCACTCCACATAATCTAAATTTCGGACAGTTCGTGCAAGCCGGGGTACGTTTAGTTGTTATGTATTCATTGACATGGGCGGTTTGAACGAAAATGTGTTTGATAAAGCGCCATCTGATTTGCCGGAAAATCCAGTGAATCAGGTAATTGGCAAGGCACAAAGTAAATAAGAAATTAAATTTGAAGCATGAGCAACTGCAACAAGGAGGCAACCCAGGACTGAATGTCCAGCCTTCTACAGATAGAATTAGGTCACCCAATCCTAATTTTCTCAATCCTCTGGGTCCCGTAAATATGTTGACTGATCAACTCCAATGGCTGGCCAGTGCACAAGATATTTTGAACAGTTCTGGAGAAGCAGGAATATTTCTCGGACAGGTCATGAAAGTCGGGGTACGTTTAGTTCTTTTGTATTCTTTGTCATGGGTTTTTGAAGGGAAATGTGCTTGAGCAAGCGCCATCGGATTTGCCAGCGGATCCAGTGAATCAGGTAATTGGTAGCAAGACACGAAGTACATTGAAAATGAAATTCTCAGCATTCGCAACAGCAACGAGGAGGCAACTCAGGACTGAATATCGCTCCTTCTAGAAATAGAATGAGATCACCCAATGCTAATATTCTCAATCCTCCGGTCGCCGTCAATATGCCGACTGATCGACTCCTTGAGCCGACCACTCCACAGCAGGTATTGATCAAAGCTGGCGGAGCTGGAGTAAATCCCAGACAATTCGTGCAAGCCGGGGTACGTTTAGTTGTTCTGCATTCATTCTAATGTTTTGTTTCAAGGCAAATATGTTTGAGGGAGCTCGCCCCACCGTGACAGCTTTGAATTTGCCGGAAAATTCAGAGAATCAGGTAATTGGTAACAAGACAGGAAAGCAATGAAAAGTGCAATTTGCAGCAACAGCAACAGTATCAAGGAAGCAACTCGAGACTGATTGTCGATCCTTCTACAGAAATAATGAGATCACCCAATTCCAATATTCACAATCCCCCGATTGCCGTCAATATGTCGACTGATCGACTCCTTGAGCCGACTATTCCACAGCAGGTATTGATCAATTCTGGACAAGCAGGGTCATGTTTTGTGTGAATTAGAGTGTCGTCTCGTCGAGACTCGTCTCGCAAAGTTGCGAGAAATCTCGGTCTCTCGCCCTTGTGTCGTCTCGTTTTTTTCTCGTCTCGGTCTCGTTTCGTTTCATTATCATCTCGGTCTCGCCCTTTCTCGGTCGTCTCGCCGTCTCGCCCTTTCTCGGTTCTGTCTTGTTCTCACCATTTCTCGTCTCGTCGTGTCTCGGTCATCCGCCGTCTCGCCCTTTCTAGTCTCGCCCTTTCTTGGATTCTCGCCGAAAATTTCTCGCCGAGACGACACACTAGTGTGACTCAAGTGAATCAGATAATTAGTGACATAACACGAAGTAAGTAAGAAATTAATTTTTGCAGCGACTGCAACAAAGAGGTACCTCGACACTCAACGTTGAGCTTTCCGCAGAAATGGTAATGGACGCAGCTATAGTCAAAAATGAGCCAGCAACATCACCATCACCGGATAACCAAGTGTTGGTTGGCGGGAGAGCGCCTCCTGTTGTCGGAACAAGGACACCAAACACCAGAGTACGTGCATCTGCATTTACTGAAGTTATACCACGACAGCGCCAACAACGTAACGTTACTATGCCATATGGTATGAACCTGCGAAAGCGTCGTGTTATCTACGAGCCGAGTTTAACGGGGGACGACAAGCAGGACCAACAGACAATCAAGAAAAAGTGTAACGAAGTAAGTATAAAAAAATGCCGATAACAAATGCACAATAAATATTTCGTAGAACACACCGTCGGTTCCGGAAATTATGCTTCTTTTCAAACGGGACATTGAAGTCAACTACCCCGATAAAATGGATACCGTTCTAGATTTCATGCTTGACAAGTGGATTATGAGCATGCAAATACACGCTCGTCAGCTAAAGAAAAGATTCAGAAAGCGGACAGTGTTCCCTATACAGCCGGGGACCTTTGTGGTTGATCTGAATGAGCACCTTCATGGCGAAGATCCAAATCTGAGCAATCTCGTCAGAAAGCATCTGATCGACCTTTTCTACGTAGTGAAGAATTTCGGAGAAAGTATAGTACAGGTGAGCCCAGCATGCCTGTCAAAAACTCTAATATAGTAGCTGTTTCCAGGAAATCGGAGAAATAGTCTTGAAATGGCAGTACGAACGTCTTAGATCGACTGGAAACACAATCAGAATCCCTCCAACTGTTACCACTCAAGCACCTCAATAATTACCTCATTTATTTGAAACTCCTCCTCCTCCTAACCTCACTGAAATCAGTTTTTTTAACCTCACATTGATAAACAGTATTTATTTGGAAAATAAAGGACAGAAGACAAATAGGTTCAAAAAAGGAAAAAGAAGAGGAGCTCGTTGAGATTTAGAAGGTTCACAGATTTTGTTCAAACAGGAATTATTTTATGAAATATGTGAAGAAGAGATGAATTTCGATTTTGTAGCCTTATTTGGTGGGGTTGGGTGCGCGGGAAGATAAAGCAGTCAGTTCACAGAACTGGGCAGGGACAGCTGGACAGAATAGGGAAGAAAAGTGAGTGATATGAAGAATATTTGGTGAGAGAGTAAATTAGTTAACTTGGGGCGTACGGAGAGACCGAACGACGGGTTCGTCCGTTCTTGAATCCCTGTTCGTTGTAGCTGTACAACTTTTTCTTTCCGTTTTCCGCGTCGAATCCACGTCGCATGAACGAGATGATGCACGAGATCTGGAACTGACAAAAATCCAAACAATCTAAAGCCCTCGATCCCATACCAGATTTCTCCAGGCCCCCAATGTCGGTCTCTGACGATTCGCTTCCCATTCCACGGCCGCCTGGGTCATGCACTCGGCAAAAGTCTCCCAATATCCCGGCTCGAAGCCTCTTCCTTGCATAGCCACGTGGCGTTTTCCGAGATTCTCAAAGTAGACCTCCAGCTTACCCGGGTAGTCCAGGTTACGGATCACAAAGTCCAATGTTTTTGTGTAGACTGAAATGAGAAATGAGACAGAAAATCAGTATGCGTTACTCGGAATAATTTTCTCACCAAGTGCGTGCTGACGGAATCGTGGATCATATTTCAGACGTCCGGTGGGGATTTTCTCGAGCCCGAAAATTGCCTTGATGTCTGGTTGCGCGGTCAGCACCATGAAGAAGATTTTTGAACCGATGTGATCGGCGCCCGTCTGAAAAAAATGATAAATTTCATTTCTGCGCGCACTTCCGCTTTGCTCTCCACCAACTTTTCGAGTTTTCCGCCAACTCTGTTCCAGTAGAATGCGTTCGCGACGGGTTAGAAAGTGCTTGCACTTGGCTTTTGTGCCACCGGCACCACCAGCCGCATTGCTCAATGATGTGGCCTCCTCCTCATTCGGCTCGCATCTGAAATTCAGCACAAATTGAGGGTTCAATGAGGTCGTCGTTCAGAACACAAAAACACAGAATTGGTAGTGTGATTTGTTTGAACGACGCTTTCCCGTTTTCTTCTTAAACCCTATTTCTCCATGTACACATTCAATGCCGGTCACTTGATTTGGAAGCAGCGGCTGATGTCACAAAAGTTGTTGTGAAAGTCCCATTGTTGAAATAGATATTGCATTGCGGGTTTTTGACAACATGCCCACGTATGTCTTTGCACTTGTGATCGGACACATTTGCACTATTACACAGGATCTTATTACACAGATCTGTTATTCACTGTTTTGATATGCAGACTCAAACGGAAAAGGAAAACAACCATTCTCGTGGCAATTAGCTAATTTGTCTAATCCGATGCAATTCAAGCCCAGAATCAAAAAACAAAACGTACATGGAGAGCTTGCGGATCTCTGGAAGGCTGTCGGTGGTCGAGTCGGCGTTCACATCGCAGCTGGATACAGTAAGACGGAGAGAAGCGGCCTTTTCGTCGGATTGCGTCGAGGGCGGGCTTCGATCAGTAGCACTTCCCGAAGAAACTACAATAATTGAATTGGGATCCGAAAAAGAAGATCCCGGAAATCGAATGCTAGTTCCCCGGGGAGATAAGAAGTTGCAAGTACAAGAATGCAGTAGGCGGAAGAGATAGGAGCTGGTGTTCGATCGCTCAAAGTGATATGAAGACAGATGAGCCGAGAGTTCTCGTGTCGTCATTTGTTCACCACGGACCAACTCACCTTTTTTCGTTTTCGGCCTCTCAACTTTGTAGCGCTTCTCGGCCAACGTTTGATGCGGGCACTTGCTGTTCTCCTGTCCCATCCTCGTCAGACGCAAGTAAACAATTGAGAGATTCACTGAAAAATGGAAAAATAGGCATGTTCTACGTGCAGTATTCAAAAGGAAATGAGTGGATAGTGATCAATAGACAGAGTCCGAAACCTCAATTGATTTCTGAAGACAAACGGGGGAGAAGATGTCTAGAACTCGAATTCAATTAAATGCGGCGAAATGAATGAAAAAGGGGCAAAGAATGCGATTTTATGGTTTGCCTGCCGAAAACTTTCATTTTTTCTTGAAGAAAGAAAAAAGTGTGAGAAAGGGTCTTTCCCAGGACCTAACACGTCACAAAGCATGTAGGAGTGAGTTTTTTTGAGTGTTATCCGTTTCTGGTATTCATGGAAACATGACATCACCCGGGATGGGAAAAGAAACATCCAGGACCTACAAGATCTTGGGTTGAAAACGGATAAAAATGAAACGACACGAGAAACCTAATCTGGGGAATGTCTGAGGATCATGTTGTCTTCTTTCTTCTAATAAATACTCAATGTTTGAGTTGGTTTGCATCCTACATCCTTCTTTTCCTGCAAGAAAAATGAGGCGAAAGAGATATGACCACCGACTAGATGACTACTGACCATTTTATTAAGAAGAGACCACCATTATGAGGGTCTCGAGGGACTTTCAGAAAAAAGGAAAGGTTGAGGAGCGGAGCGGAGAACTCGAATGAATGAAAATGCTAAAAGGAAATGAGGAAAGAGAAAAAGGGCGGGGTCTTTGAGTCTGCTCCAAAATTTCAGCTTGCTCTCGGCTGCTGTTTTTATACCGGTCTAAAGAGAAAGAGAGAGAAAGAGCGAGCGAGCAAGAAAAGGGTGGAGTCTTGGGGAGCACGCGGGCGCGGATGACAGAGAGGAAAACGCTTTTGTATACAAGTGGACTTGAATAATTAGCCGAATGATAAATGCCTCATCATCATGCATCATGATTCTGCCACACAAAACACGCTCACTTCAAGTGCAGTGGAGACGTCAAAAAAGTTGCAAAAATGTCCGCCGGCCTTTCACGGTAGGCATTAACCGGATGCGGAAGTTATGAAAGCGAGATGTTAGTTGTGACCCGCATAACAATAATAGCTCGGTGAGCTTCTTGAGCATCACTTCTATTTTGTTCTTTTAGGTGAGCAGGCGGCGAGGAAAAGAAAAAAGAGAGAAAATCACGCAGTTCACTCCAATTTTGGGTTGCGATGATGATTCTGCGAGGGAAAACCCGCAACGGGGTGAGAAATCAAGTTATTCTTGCAAAAAAAAGAAGAGGCACCGCTTTGCACAAATTGTATTATATGTAGTGTGAATCACAGAACGTCTCAGACTTGAATTACCTGCTCCATTTGATTTCGTCACGTTGGAAGGGGCCACAGAACGGATTTGTTTGCAAAACGGGTATTTGGACGGAGGTAAGTGTCCATTAGGTTTGCACCCAGCAAAGACAGCTGTTTTCACTGGTTTTGAAGAGTTCCAAAGGGTTTTAAAGGGAAAAGGAGTGATTATCATCCGTCTGGTTAATAGTACTTCTAGACTCCGACATCAGATTTCCCGAAAGAATACGTTGAGAATGAGGGAAGGCTCTCGGGTTTCAACAAAAGTCAAATATTCATTCCTCGGTTTTAGGCCGGGGTGTAAAATTCGATTCCTTAGTTAGAGTTAGAGTTTCGCACGTTTTCCAGGATCTGATGCGCATTTTCGAGAATTCTCATTTGAGTGTTATTTCGAGTCACAGTAGTTTGAAGAATCCGCGATGAGTACTTAGAACTTACGTCAAATGCTAGTTGGAAAAAGGAGAAGAAAAAGAAGAAGAAGAAAGTGTTAAATGTGCTTCAATGAAACAACGTTTGTTGGCACGCTGACTCTGGCACCGGAACGTTCTCCTTCTTTCTCTTCCCTCCGCTTCATACATTCGTCAGGTGGAATGTTTTATTTCGCTTCTCTTCTCGAACCCGTTGAGCTCGCCAGATGCGGGCTCATGTTTTTGTTGGATGAATGGGAAGCGAGCGCATCATTTGTCTTTGCTCTTTGAGAAGTTTCAAATTTCATATCAACCGGACAACTAGAAACAAATCTTGCTTTTGTTACGAGGAAACTTGCAGACAGAGATAGACTTCTTACAGTCATGTCACATTGTTTTTTCTCACACACTTACACATGTGTGAGCAGAGAGCAAATGGAACAACGCATGACTGACTATTCAACTTCTGAATTCAAATGAACTTTGGACATTGACTCCTTTTAAAACCATAGATCTGTATTTCTGCTCAGACATGCTGTCTAGCCAGGACTGTCTGACAGAGTGTTCAAGCGGAAGGTTCAGAACCATAGTTCAGAGCAGGGCTGGGCATGCATTTGTTTTTGGACCACTTGCAATATTCACATTGGACCCAAACTTTGCAGAATTTTTGAATTTGGATGGAATTATATTGCGTCCAAGTTCCAGACCGTGATGATCTAATTGGTCTGAAACTGGGACAAAACATACTCCAATCTAAATCCAAGAAGCCCTCAAAGTTTGGGTCTGATCGAAATATTGAAAGTGGTCCTAAAGTCCAAGCCCAGGCAGGACCCAGGTTTAGAGTTGTTTTCCATAGTTTCATAGCCCTTTTCCAGTGCTTGCTTATTTTATTGTCGCACTGAAAGATGAGCAACTCGTCCTTGCTAGTTGGTCTAGCCTCCAGCTCTCAAAGTTCGATTCTTGTTGGACCGCAGAAAGACTAATTAAAGGATGTCGTGTATCAAAACGCAACCTCGTACTTTCCACGCATTCACCGGATTCGTGTGCAAAAATAGAAGTCCGGAAGAGAGAGGCGTTGCGTGGGTAATTGGCCAACTTTCCTCTGATTCATTGGTAATTGGGCAGCAGCATTGGATGGATCAAAATTCACATTCGAAAATATTTGATATGGAGAATAAAATGGGGTTAGGGTGTTGGGGGTAGTCGTTTCCTAATCTAGGACCAAACAAATTACATCATGCTGTCAATGATATGATTCCAGATCAAATTGAATCAAATCAAAGTCCTGGAATCATAAATAAATTCAAATTAAGGATTCAGAATTTGTGTGGGATGTGTGTGCTGTATGATTTCTTGGGTTCAGTTTGATATTGGAACATGACGCGATTAGGCGGAAAGATTAAAAGTTAGAAGTTAGCGATCAGTTTCAAAGAAACTGAAAAAAGGAAAGGGAAGGGAGAGAAAGAAAAGGAGTAAAAGCCAAGAGTGTCAAGGATAAGTTATGCTATGTTATTCATGAAAAACAAGTAGTTGGCCGCCAAGAATCTTCGACCGTATAAAGTTCAGGTTCAACCACGAGAACCAATCCATTCGGGACCAAAGATCTTTTTGCACGCAGGCAGTGTTCGCTAATCATAAATGTATTGTTCTGTGACATTCTTTTTTTTACTTTCTACTATACTCACATGACACTAGCGCCCGGAAAGGAAAGGCAATCCGTCAGATCCTTTATAACCAAACCTAGTTTCGGTTTTTCAGTTTTTCATTTACTCAATTGTGCCGGGGTAAATAAAATCCAATTTCCGTCATCTTCGTCATAAATAGGCAGAGAACAAAAAAAATCTGGGAGCTCGCTCATAAATTGTGTGCCTACTTTTTTGTCTTTCAGAAAAACGAGACAAAAAATATACGACCTACGATGATGTGAGAGGGGAAAAAGACGAATCATCAAGATTCGAAGATAAATGTGGGAGGTGCGCAGGCGATTACGAATTCGATGCGAAAATAGAGTCAGAATGAGGTAGATGAATGGATTTGATATCGACACGGAAGGGAAAAGGGGTTTGGAAAGGTGTTAGGAGATTAGGAACGTTATGTAGGATGTTCCTGGTTGAATCACTCTGTCTAGGGCACAAAATGAACAACGTCTACCTCCACAATTCCTATTTAAAAGAATAAAACGCTCTTTTCCGAACATAGGTAGCAAAATAGTGTAGATTTAAAATCCAAAAAAAACAATCATTTGACTGCAAAGTGAGAACTAGGAAGTCTATGATAAATCGAGTTAACGCATAATTATTCCTTTATCTTTCTCTTCCTCGTCTCTCATTTGTTTTTCAGACGGAAAAGGGAAAATTCTAATTCAGCCCACCCGGAGCAAGTAGGCGGGTGGTATTGGCGGGTTGTTGGCGAAGAAATGTTGGAGGCTTTCTATTTCAGAAAACAAAACGTTTTCATCTACGTCCGACAAGTTTAATTAGTTTTTTTCTTCTTCTCATGCCGTGTGGAAGTGTTTAGATTAAAGCATGCGCAATTGGAATGAAAGCAATGCGGGGAGGAATGGGTTTATTATCTTTTTTGTAACTCTTGTTCAATGAACTATTTTGAAAATTCATAGTCAACAGAAAGGAAACAGAAAAAGGTGCTGTTCTTTTCGCTAATTTCCTGTTTTCGCATTTTCTTTGACACTTCTGAACGATTCATTCAATCTGACAACTCGAAGGAAATTGTGTTAGCGTATGTGTCCATCGGTGTTCTCTGTTCTCAAAAACTGATTGCGAATGCGAAACAAAAGAGGAATAGCAAAGGAAAAGCACGGAGGGCTCGGCTCAAGCTTACCTGCGTGCCTCCGCAAAGAGAACAAGAAATTTGAAAGAAGGGATAGGTGATAAGTTGGTGAGACATTGAGCACTTACGTCAGAAGCGAGCGATACCAGAGTCCGTGACTTTTGAAAAAGTGTACAGATGGATCCGCGCGCGGGGGCAAACTTTTCAAGTGGGTCAAACTTTGTACAAGACGACAGTTATGATTTTGGATCTCGGCGAGAACGTGCGCTCAGGCAGTTCGCAACTGTTTTTCAAGTTGAACGCTGCTTTTTTAGTTTTTCAAGTGGGCCTTTCGGCTAAAGAACATCAAAGGGAAGCGAAAGAAAGTTTGTTGAGAAGTTACCCTTTGAAATTGACAGGATTGGATGACAAGAGGGAGTGAAAATTTTTGGATCACCGACAATTCGATACAAACGTTAAAGGACCAGGGAACCCAAAAATTTTTTGATTTTTTTGTGAAATGTTTTTGTGACTGTTTGAATTGTCTCTTATTGCCTCATACACTGGTGAAATGCAGCCTCTCAAAAATGCCAATGAACGAAACGGCATGCAGTTGAAGTTGTGGCCGTGGCCTAGCTCAATGGCCGAAAAAAATATATAAAAAAATATGCGCTTCTCGGCCATTTTATTTTTTTTCCGCTTTTTTTTACCGGTTTTTCCAAAAAAATTCACGGTTTCTCCCATCTTGGCACTTCATATCGACTGAATGAAAACAATTTTTTAGCAGTGAAAAAATAAGTAAGTGCCGAACAAATGTCAATCAGCTGAAAAATGGGAGAAACCGTTAATTTTTGGAAAAAAAACCGGTAAAAAAGCGGAAAAAATAAAATGGCCGAGAAGCGCATATATTTTTATATATTTTTCGGCCATTGGCGCTAGGCCACGGCCACAACTTCAACTGCATGCCGTTTCGTTCATTGGCATTTTTGAGAGGCTGCATTTCACCAGTGTATGAGGCAATAAGAGACAATTCAAACAGTCACAAAAACATTTCACAAAAAAATCGAAAAACTTTTGGGTTCCTTGGTCCTTTAATTACGTGAATTTCCTACTAAAAATGTTAAGTTTGGTATCGAAACGTAAGGTTGCGAAATGTCGAGGAGCCAAAATTGTAGAGAGTCTCAGGTTCCGGCCACGGATCAATCCGCTCTCATTAATGCCCCGCTTACACGTTGTTCTGCCATTTGATTCCTATTTACGAAAAACAGAATTTCCAGACAGGGTATTACCAGTTTCCATTTGCATCAGTTGCGGAAATTGAAAAACGAGAGGCGAAATGTTGCATTTTAATTAGAAAGGCACCATAGGTGAAGTGTGAATCACGATTAGTAATATTGTAATCTTTGAAGCTATTGCTATTGTCACGAGATTAAAATTTCAATGTGGTTTGTGCAACTATTGAATCGAAAACAATTCCGATTCCAAACATCACTGAAAGTGAAGCCCGATGAGAATTGAAAAGCTAGCTAGACAATAAACAGATCGGAAGTGCGCACCAACATTAAAGAGTTTCACGATACTTTTTAAAAAGGGAAATTGAAAATGCATCCTTCACGCCACCGACTCTCTCTGAAAACAAAACGCATCAGGAACCACTTTTCCACGCGGATTTGCAAGGGACCAGCTCTCTTTTGTCAACTAACCACGCAAAACTACATTGGAATGAACTTTGTTCGGTGGCCGCGAAAAGGATAGGGAAAAATGAAATGGGGAAGTGTCACTAAAAACATGTGCATACTAGAAAACTCTCTTCTATAATTGGGTTTGAGCATGTGCCAAAATAGGGAAAATGGAGCAGAGCCACGTGATGATTTCCAATTCAGTGTACTTTTCGCGAAAGATATATATATTCTCAAATATTTTCCGAAAACGAAAACGAAACCTATTCTTTATCTCGAAACACATTCCAGGAAAACAGATGGGTTTGCAAGAGGAAGTTTCGTTGGAAAATGGAAACTCATTCAGTGGGCAATCCTTTGAATTGGCAAAAAGTCGTGAGAAATGGAATGAGGATGGCTTCTCAAACATTCCTTCTATTTTCGGGACCGAACCAAAAAAAGACGGCAGAAGTCGATACCGGACAAAATCAGAACACCTAGAAGAAACAAGACATCAGTAAATCATTTTTTGAGGCTGTGTCGGATCATTGACCAGTTTCATGAATCTCTTTTTGAATTGCATGGTTCTCGGAAGAAAAAAGAACAAGAAAGGCAGAAAACAGAAGTGCGAAACATTGAAAAAACAACTCTCGGAACATTGCCTTATTTGCAGTTAGTTCCTTTTTGGCTAGTCGTCTACGGCTGACCTTTTCCAGTCTGACACACATGTTCTTTTTGTTTTTCGTGACAAAAGAAACATAAGCAGATTCAAGCAAGGAAACCTTATTTTTCAGAACGAACGGACAAATATGTATGGTGAAACTACGCATGACGGATATTGGGGAACACCAAAATAATAGAATCAGATATGACAATTTCTACAGCGGGAAGCACACGAATCACAGTGAAAATGTCTGAAGAATGAAACTGTTATGAGAAGAAAATATTGTTGCAAAATCGAAAACGGAATCGGAATCAAAATTGCTGTGGTGTTGAGCGGTCTCCGGATGGCGAAAAGTAGTTGTTCATGTGTTCAGCGACCTAAAACCACAACTCATTCGAAAGAATGGAACAAAAAAAGAACACATACTTCAAGAACCTCATTAGTTTCTGGCCGTTTTGACGCTTCCGGCAGAATGCAGCGGGAAACAAGATCGCGCAACTGAAAGTAGTGTTTTTTGGGTCAAAAGTCAGTTTGCAAACATACTTGGGACGAGTAAATATCAGCTGGAAGTGGGGGATACTCGCAGTTTTCAATCTTTTTGCACAACGAGTACAAGTTCATTTTGTCTCCATAAAACGGCGACTGAAGAGCGGCCATTTCGTAGAGAAGACATCCAGTTGACCACAAGTCCGATTTGAAGTTGTAGCCTGATTCTTGAATTCTCTCAGGCGACTAAAAACGATGGTAAACATAGTTTTACTTATTTTTTTGCAGTTTTTGTTCTATCGATTTTTCTTTGGAACAAAATTTGTGTACATTTCTCAATGTCAGTCCTTGTAGTTGTTTTTCAAACTTCCCAGAACAGTCTGACAGAGAAATGCCGAAAAATCTTCAGAAAAACGGACGTTTTCAGAATTCTTGTTTATCTTACCATGTAGTACGGAGTGCCGACGAGCGAATGAGCAGCCGTGGTCTTCGAAGAGAAAAATCTTCCGAGTCCCAAATCTCCAAGCTTCACAACACCATTGCCAGTGATAAAAACGTTTGCGGGTTTGATATCTGCAATATTTTTTTCAAGCTTATCGATAATCAAATTGGTTTTGTTCGCACCTCGGTGCATGATTCTCTTCGAGTGCATATGAGCCAGAGCTCTGGCCAACTGAACAAAGTATTTCCAGATTGTCCTCTCTGGAATTAGTTGCCCGCTCTTCTTGAAGTGCTGAAAAAGAAGCCATAGTTCACAATGCCAAATGTCATTCTTTTTTAACCTTAATCATACGGCTCATGTCCCCAGCGTTGGCCAGCTCAAGTACAATGTTCAGTTGGTTGTTATCAATGAAAGATGCGTGATATCTATAAAAAGAACAGACCACGTGATGGATGACATGGCGAGAGATACCTTCTACTTACCTGATCACATTGACATGATTCAACTGTTTCAGAAGATCAATTTCCTTGAGACAGTCCTGACGGGCTTTCTTATCCACCATTTCAAAGACCTGGAATTGGTTTTTGCCATAATTGTATTAAAAATGCTGAAAAAGAGTTACCTGAATCTTTTTGAGAGCCACCTCAAGCTCAGTCCATTGGCACTTTGCCTTGAATACTTCACTGAATTGACCTTTTCCTATTTTTTTCTCAATTGAGAAAAACTCCAAACTCAGCTTGGCCGGGGGTGGCTCATCGAAGTTATACATCTGACCTGGCTCCGCATTGTCCATTATCTGAAGATTAAATATAACTTTTCAAATTTTTCTAAAGGGAAGAGAGAAGAAACGAACAATATATTTGTTTACTGGAACAAAACAAGAATAGCTATATATACACGCCCAAAAAATGGTAATTGGTCTCATTACGTCTTTTGTGGGATATCACAAAATGAAGAAAATGTAGGTTGGCCGCTTTGTTTTATTTCGAAACAAATGGAGTTGTCAGAAATGTAAACATACAAAATACGAAAAAACGAATTGGCCTTCCACATGTGTCGCAATTTTCCCCCCTAAAGGCGCAGCAGCAGTTGTCAAGGAGATTCGCTCTCTTTTCCTCTCGCACAAGTTTTTTGGGGCGGGATGCATACATTTTCTCATGCATTCATAACAAGATTCCGTCGGTTTCTGGGCCCCGAGTACGCTGTACAAATACTCAAGATTTATCTGGAATATGGAAATGGGAGAATATATGAGGGGGAAATATAAAAATGAATGCAGTGTATGAAACAGAGAGAGAAGGATGATTAAGACAGAAACTAAATGATGATTTGATCAATACGCGTGTCAAACACACAAAAGATATGTTTCGGGTCGCCGCCGGCAACGACGTCGTCTTCTGCCCCTCTCCACATCGCCGCCGTATGCTGAAGATCAAGTTTTTGATGATTTCCCCTCTCTCGGTTCCTTTTTCTATTCACTGTTATTGCCTTGCTAATCTTCGACACGAATTGCTTGAGATTCTGAAAAAAAGTTTGCGTACGTAGATTATCACATTCCCAGAAAACCTCTGATATCAAATGAAGCCCTGCATGTTCTTCAGTTTCCGATTCCGTTTCTGCTATTAATTCCGCGTTTCTTCTCGTGTACACGCACATTACACACTACACACCCACACGTACTAGTCTAGTCATCATCGGCCGCGGAAGAGAAAGGAGAAAGGGGGGTCACCGGAGATGCGTCAGCAACCAACGCTGGGTGGGTTTTGTGTGTCAACGGAGGCTACGGCAACCGACAACACATGTGTTTTCCAATAAAAATTCACATGATCTTAGGTTTTACCCAACAAATAAGCTATCATTTCTTTTTTTCCTTAAAATTCCTGAAAAATTAACAGATTTTTCTGTGATTTTATGGATAATATAATTGTGAACGCTCTTTTCCGTTCAAATGTGTGAAATCAACAAATAATGCGTTTCTTCAGGCTGTTTTCGTTTCAAACTTTCAACATACCTTGCTCAACTAGGATATTTCAATGTTCAACATCGAGTATACATGGTTACAGATTGAAAGTGAGGCATTTTCACGTTTTTTATGCGTTTTAAAATGTTACGGAAAAATCTTAGGATGAGTGTCACAGTCGAAACTCCGTCGTTGAAATCTGCGCCCATACTGGAGAAGAAACAGGGTGAGGTTTTTATAAATTCAAAATTAGCTTAACTTTTTCTGGAATAGCAAAAAACTATGGAATTTTCCCTTATAAAAACACATTTTCAGAATTGATCGACTTGAAAAACATTGGAGAACATGCGAAGAACATCACTCCGTTCAAGACTTCCAAGCATCAGCCTCTCATCCAGGTGACACCCTCAAATACTTGAAGATCTTAGAAAACCTCCCAGTTTCCAGGGTTCTGTGTCGAAAGAAGCCGCTATCGCAACACACACCGCTCTCCACCTTAACATCACACCGGAAAAGGAGAAAAAGTAAACGAGATACGTGTCAGACAGCTTATTCAATGATAATCCCAGAATCCGAGAGATGTACGACAGGCTGGATGCAGACAACGACGGCTCGATTGATATTAGAGATCTCACGCAGGCACTCGCGGCTCAGACTCCGCACATTCCGACTAATCTTGCACCGGTACCGAGGATTCATAAAGCAAAAGAAGTTCTTTATGTTTCAGAAACTGTTGGCACGTATGAAATCGGGAGAAGGCGACAAGGTCACGATTGCCGACTTCACCAACTACGTACTAGCACATGAGGCACGATTAGCGGAGGTGTTCGACAAGATCGACTCAAATCGAGATGGTAATGTTGAATTGGAGACTTTTAGTGACATTTTCTCATTTTTAGGTGAGGTTGACGTTTCTGAGATCAAAAACTACTGCAACGACTTGGGAGTGCCCCTGGACGACCACAAAGCGTTGCGTATTGTCAGGCAGTGAGTGCTTTCCACGATCTGATACAGTTTTTTGTCCTAGTGTGGTAGTAAACAATCGACGATTCACAGGGGAAATTTTGAGCTCGAATGAGAGTTTCCACTAAAACTGATTGAGAGACCATCTTCAGATTATCCTAACTTTCAGAATGGATCAAACTGGATCATCTTCAGTAAATCTCAACGAGTTTCAAGATTTTATGCTCCTGTATCCATCGACAGACATGAAAGAGATGGCTGATTTCTGGCGTCACAATTTGGTAGCGAATTCGATTTGGCTCTTCGCAAAACGCTAAGCTTTTTTAGATGATTGACATAGGAGAAGACGGTCAAGTGCCGGAGGACTTCACACCGCAGGAACTGAAATCCGGAGTTTGGTGGAGGCATTTGGTGGCCGGGGGTGTGGCTGGAGCCATGTCGCGAACGTGCACGGCGCCTTTTGACCGCATCAAAGTGTATCTACAGGTATCAATAAGCGAACCAGTCAAACGAAATTTTATGATTTCCAGGTCCACTCCACAAAAACCAACAAACTCGGAGTTGTGAGCTGCGTTCACTTGCTGCATGCGGAAGGAGGAATCAAATCGTTCTGGAGAGGCAACGGAATCAATGTCGTTAAAATTGCTCCAGAATCTGCAATGAAATTTATGTGTTACGATCAAATCAAGCGTTGGATCCAAGAATACAAAGGAGGCGCTGAATTGACGACGATTGAGAGACTTCTAGCGGGTTCATCAGGTACGCTTCTGGCCTGACGAGCTGAGAATCATTGAATCCCAACGTTTTCAGCGGGTGCGATCTCACAAACTGCCATTTACCCTATGGAGGTGATGAAAACGAGGTTAGCGCTTAGAAGGACGGGTCAACTCGATAAGGGAATGTTCCATTTTGCTCAGAAAATGTATACTAAAGAAGGAATCAAATGTTTCTACAAAGTGAGCACTTTTCAGATGAAAATCTTGTCTCAAACATGAAGATTTTCAGGGATACCTTCCGAACCTGCTCGGAATTATTCCATACGCCGGAATTGACTTGACAGTGTATGAGTCGTTGAAATCCTTATACACCCAGTACTACACGGAACACGCGGAACCAGGAGTGCTGGCTCTTCTCGCTTGTGGTACCTGCAGTTCGACATGCGGTCAACTGGCCAGTTATCCCTTGGCTCTTGTGCGGACACGGTTGCAAGCAAGAGGTTTGTGATCGGATTAGTATCGAATTTCGACAGATTTTCGGTTTTTCTCTCAGCCAGAAAATGACATTTTCTTATTTTAAGTCACGAAAAGTTACAAGTCATTGTTTGCAATATTAGTACTAAAGCCAATTTTCAGCGATATCTCCAAGAAATTCTAATCAACCGGACACAATGGTGGGCCAGTTCAAGCACATTCTCCAGAATGAAGGATTCACTGGACTGTACCGAGGGATAGCGCCAAACTTTATGAAAGTGAGCATTTTGGATATACAATTGCCCGAATCTCGTTTCCACGGCATAAAAAGCCGCTTCAAGAGGCTTCTCGGACTTAAAACTAAAGGATCTTGAGTCAAAATTTCGAACCAAATAAATTGGTCTATAGATATTTGAATGAGAGGCGGAAAACACAGGTTTTCAAGGAAATTGCCACCTTTTCGGCTTGTAGCCAGTAGATATATATTTTCGGACAAGTTAATACGATCTATCTAAAACTTGACCTCAACATATTTCAATTCAAGTTCATGAAGCCTGCAAAATTTGGGTTCTATATTGGAAATAAGAAAGAGGGCCAAACGTCAGGCCTCAAAACGCCTTCGCAAAGCCCGGGGACGTGACTAAATCGACCTGGAATACCACTAATAAGATTCTATTTTTTTCAGGTGATTCCAGCCGTCAGCATCTCCTACGTGGTCTATGAAAAAGTGCGGAAACAGCTTGGCGCCAGCATGTCATGAGAATAACCATTTTCCCAGCCAGTCAGTAGTGCTTCTCTTTAAAGTTGTGATGAATTTACAATAGTCCTTTTTTCTTGCTTTTTGTTGTTTTCTTTTGTCAATGTCCGGGATAACGAAAAAGACTTGCCTTGTTTTGCAGCATAGTCTCTTTCAGTCTTATTTTTTTTCTGCTACCTGGTGTCATTCAAATGGCCTTTAGTCATATAATCAATATTAGTCAAAAAAGTCACAACATACACCTTTTATGTAAGTTTTTTGTATTTTTTGTGAATTATGTCAGAACTTTGTCAGAAAATCTTACCTCCAACGGGCCCGACAAGCAAATTTCTATAATTAATAATGCTCGCTTCATAAAACAAACACTTTTCAATAAAAATAATTTCATCTTTATTATCACAATCGAGATGGAACGTGATGAGCATAGTTGCTTTCTATTTACCGTTCTTTTTACGTAAAAGACCACAGGTAAGAAGAAAAATGAAAATTTTTGGCATAAAAAACCTAGATTCCAGAACTTATACCCAAAAAATACAATGGAAAAAGTAATTAACTGAATGATAAAAACTTTCGAGATCGTAAAAACTACTAACAAAATATAATGGTTTTTACTGCAAGTCAACTGATTTTTTGGAGAAGAAACAGTCAAAAATCTATCGGGTGACTAGTCACCGGCAACTGAAATTCTGAAAGAGAGAAGAACTGAATGTGACATTTTTGGATACCAAAATATTGGGGGATATTTAGTATTCGTGGCGGAGAGATCAGTAGACCCATGTGACGGGCAGCCATTGCGGGTAGGCCGGAAGTTTTTCGACTAATCGTTCCAATTGAGCAATTGTGTCGTCAATATCACTGTTGGTGATGATGAAATCGAAAAGATGGCCAAACGCCTGACGAAGTACATCCGACTCGTTCAGCAGTTTTTCCAAGGAGCCATCCGGCTGAAATCGCAAAGAGATATTGTACGCTTACTGGCAGGACACTCACGTCTTGCATTCCTTGCAAGTTCGGTGCCGCAATGAATACCACAAACGGCGAGTATTCGGCCGTTCGGAGAACTTTCAATGCTTGTGGTTCCACATCCAGAATCGCAATCTTTCCGCTCTTGTGGATGTTCCGAATCGTTTCCAACTTTGTTCCATACATACCTAAGCTCAGTATGGAATTCTCTGTTGGCACTTTTCTTCTTGAAAACCAGAAGTTGGAAAAAACCTCCGGGGTTTTCAAAGGCCTTGTCAAGGTCTGAACTTTCGGCACAGTTACAATACAGATTTGAGGCCGAAAAGGTCGGGTCTTTGAAACAATTTCGTCTTTTTTGTCTTGTATCCAGAACTACAATGCAAAGTCTTCCTCAAAACGAAGAAGCTTACAAAATTTGATACCGACCGGATTTTTGCAACTGTGTCAAAAGTCCAGACCTCGGCAAGGTCTTCAAATAGCCTGAGCCGGTCTTCCAGCCCTCCCGAAAACTCACTTTCTTCGTGCGTTCCGTACTCCAAATACTCATTGTTCTGAATATCCGTCATCATTTGCTCATTCGTCACAAAGTAGTAGTGTTTTCCGTCGACTTCATCCTTACGTGGCGGTCGAGTCGTGTCTAAACAATAAAATGCTATCAGTAATCTGTAAACTTTCAGTTACGTGGAATCGGATAAGCGAATCGGTTGGGATGCCTGTGAATCAACGTGTTTTTAATATGCCTCCTGCCAACTCCATGAGCTCCGAGAAGCACAAGAGTTTTTCGACGGTATTGCGACAACCTCATCACCTGAAGTTTATTCATCATTTTATTATATCTTAATCGTTCTTACCTCTTCATAAGTGACCAAATCCAATTGATCAAAAAGAGCTGAATGTTTCTGCAGGTACTTTGTCGTGTAGTACTTTTTCTTTTTGTTAAACCACATGCAATGTGCTGAAAGAATAGAAATAAGTTTCAAACTAAATTGATTTCAGTACTACTATTACAAGAGTTCTTGGATCTCTCCATAGCCAGGCATGCCGTCCTCCACTCTTGAAGTTCCGGCGATGGAATCAATCCGGCCACTTGTTGCTGGTTACTTCGTTGTGCTGAAGACACACACACATACTTTGTGCTGAAGATAAACAAAAAATGCATGTTCTACATACCATTAGAAGAGTTTCCAATAGACGGGAATGCGGAGACAAATCGAGCTTGCCACCAGTTGTGATCATCTTTAGAGATCACCTGAAAAACCACGTTTTATTGGATTGAAACATTATTAACCCCCAGACCTGTAAAATATCTCCAGTTTTGAATGGAATTCCAGCTTGTGGGCACGGTATCAAATCGTCTTGAATTGGTTCATAGTCGAATTGTGCACGGACAAAAATTTCGCAGGCAGGCGGGGCCGATCGGTAAGACGGAATGATCTTGAAGGTGACCTGACCGCGAGCATCACGGAGCATCTCTTGGAGAGCTTCCACATTCCTGTTCGCTACGCTCATTCCGTTAATCTCACGGATTTCATCACCGACGTGAAGAGTTGCTAAAAATCAACGGTTCTTTGTCAAAAAAAGTTGCAGACTGTGTATTTTCTTATTCAACTCGCCGTGTTCTGGAAATGTCGCTATACCGCAATATCACGTGAAATCTCGGCCGCGGCCGTCCGCGAATTTTCCAATTTAGCACTGAATTCACGTGGAAAGCGGTAGAGCGGGATTTGCCAGACTTTTGCGGCAGTAATACCTTGTCTATGAATCATGCCGCCGTGCATAATTCTCGCCACAAAACACCTTCCGTCTTCGTTGACTTTCAGAGTGATACCCATCGGTTCTTGGGTGTCCTTTTGGAATTGAACTAGCCTTAGCCGCGACATGCAGTCGTACAATTCGTCTTCTTCTTCGTCGTCTGAAAGAAATGTCGATTGGGATGAAAGTTTCGAGGCGGGTCTTCGAAGCTGTCAAATCGGATAATCAAAAACTGACATGACGCGTGGACAGCCGAATGATTGAAATGTTCGAAAGAGGTTCCGGCCCGTTGGGAGCCCAACGGCAGCACGCCTCCGTTCAAATATGCCGGCGCGGTTTCACTGGTGATGCACTGAAAAATGGGTTGGTTTGAGTCGAGAAAAACATAACAACAAATGAGCCAAACAAACATTGGGGTCCTTCTCGGCTGAGCCGCTAGCCTCATTCTTCGGAATATCACGGATCTCGCAAACAACAACGTCCAACGCTCGAACACAACTCTGTAATATGGATGTAGCATAAATTATTTTTAACAAGTATAATGTTCAACCTTTTTTCTGCCAAATTATGCAGGGGGGGGGGGGCAAAAGTCAAACAGTTCTCAAGTGCTTCCTTCTCATTTTCAAGTTGTTTGTTTTTCGTTTTTCACAGACACTTATCGCTTTCCACAAAAAAATCAAAAGAGCACCAGAGGAATGTAACTGCTTCTGTGATTTCGGAGCCTGCAGAGTGAAAAGGCCGAAATGTGTTTTGAACTATGTAAACTCCATATGTTCCTTTCCAATTTCCCTCTTCAGAACCCTTCTAAAGTTGCCGCTGCGGCTCCAAATTAACCGGGTCCTTAGAAAACAATTCTCGCGGGCGAATTATGGGGCAATGACGCGAAACACGGCTCGTCTGCTCAGCCCTAGCACCTCTCCAACGCCAGAAATTACTAGGAAAGGAGAAGAAGAAGAAGAAGAAGCGCAAGTGCCAATTTGCGGGTATTCTCCGCCTGTAAGCCCTGTCTTTGTATGCAGACAAAAGAGCATTTTGCGGACTTGAGAGTTGCATCGTACATACACACATTCATACATACAAACAGATCTTCCCCCCTATCGCACACTGATTTTTCTCTCTTATCTCGAGAAAGAGAAGGTAGCAGATGTCGTGTAATTAATCACAATTTTTCGCCTCCCCACGTATTTTCGTCGCGGGGAACTGATTCGTCAATCAAGCTTTTGCCTCGTAGACTTGACAAAAGTACGGAAAACGTTTTTTGATCTGATGTGAACTCTTGAGAATAACTTCTTCTTCTTCATTATAATCCTTGAACTTCGTTTTGAAGCTGACTAATCCTTTGCAGAAAAAGAAGGCCAGAACAGAAAAAAGAGAACAAAACACAACAGAGCAGAAAAAAAGGGAGGGGGAGGGGAAGGGAGACAATCGGTGGATTATAGCCCCATAATGTTTCGATTGCTTTGGCGCTCAACGGCGGTCGGTTATGCATAACTACTGGGGTGTCTGCCATTGCCCGTCCAGAAAGCAACAAAACTTACTGCTAAATGTGGAGAGTTGAGCAATTGCCGGAGTTCCAACGCTTCTGGGCTCGGCCCGAGAAGACTGTCAATTTGTGAAACCGTCTGCAAGAATTCCATGAGATTTCCATAAAAGCTCGCCGTGTCAGTCATTTTATTTCTCATCTCCGTTTTCAATTCCCAAATGAATTTGGAAACTAAAAACGAGAATTTGGTTTGAAAGATTTGACATACAATTCTCGGCTCAATTTATCAACTCTCTTTTCGACAGCGCTCGGGACGAGCGAAAGTTGCTCTTCTGCCGTTTTGCGTCAAATTTATTGCATATTTCGGCGCATTCACCAAAAACGTGCGGCGGCTAAAGGGAGGAGACTGGAAACTGATTGGTCCCAAGGGAGCTGGCAACGGCGTCGGGACATTTCAGCACTTTTGATTCCCGATTTTGATAACGTATTTGTGAGAAGGCAAGCCACAAACCGCAAATGTTTACGACAGGGGTTTACAAGTTGTGAGTGATTTTGTACCTCTTTCCGTAGAGTTGACGTGTCGACCTCCGTAACCACTGGCTCACACGGCAGCGCGTTGATCTTGTCATACAACTGAAAAGTGAATGATTAGGGCAAAGATCGAAAAGATTCTTGGGATCTCATTTTCTTTAAACTTTTCCCGTTAGGAACTACTACTGCTCTAAGAGTCAAGGAATGTGTCAGTACCAGTATTGAACTGTTCTCCGTAATATCCACTACTAGATTCGTCGGGCTGGATGCTCGGAAAGTCGTTTTCAGGCACGGCACACTTGTCTCCGCCACATTCACATCGAGGCACGACGACGACGACTGGAACGGGGTCTGAAGTGGCGCCGTCGTGCTGTCTTCCGACGATGTGTGTTCCATTGGTGGCGGCGTGGTGCTGACGGCCGACGACATGCGAGCCGAACGACGTGTCGTGGCAACACAGACCGCGGTCGCTGAGAGCACCAATCACTAGGACGCACACAAAGAAAATCAGAAAGGAACCGATGAGAATGGCCAGAAGTGAATTGTGGAAGAGAGTCGAATCCATACAGGGATCAAGGAGTATGGTAGTGAGTATGGAATCTAGCAAAAGAAGGAAGAAGAAGACTAGTGGCGACGGACGAATATTACCGCCGTCTGATTTCGAGGCGGGATTGGGAGGGACCGAGCACCGAAACGCAAGAGAGATACGGGTCAGAGAAAAATGGGAGGAGAGGCGCCACGACGAAGGGCTTTTTTGAGACAAGCCCGCCGCCGCCGCCGCCGCCGCTGCCGTCACTCTTCTATTTCTTCAGAGATTCGCCTCCTCTCTCCCGCCGCCGCCATCACCCAAACAGCAGCAGCAACACGAAGGGAGCTGCACAAACCCACTGACAACACATGAGAGTATGTAGCCCATGCATACGAACAGGAAGAGCACCTTGTCACTTCTTTCTCTCTCTTCGTGTTCCTATCCGTATTACTCACCTGTTCTAGTGGTCCGCTTAACACCGATAGGTAAGAGGATGACATATTGACGGTCTTGTCCGGCGCCTCTCAATTCTTTTTCTAACCGCCAAAAACGTGCATCCGAGCATCCGCGACAAGAAAAAAAGAAGGATCCAGAGAGAATACGAATAATTGGCGAAACGGTCACAGTTGACTGATCTTGTAATGACACAGAGAGATAAGCAAATGAGTGGTGTGTGTGCGGGTCCAGTGGCTCCTGCCCGCGGGCCTCTTGCTCTGTTGAGTGTTGTGTGTGTGTGTGTGTGTGTGCGTTGAAAATGAAATTATGGGAGGGGTGGAGAAGGCAGGCGGGGCCTTCATAGGGATGAGGCAAGCGGAGTATGTCCATTAGAAGGCTATTCAAGTTGCGTTGGAGAGCGGTTCTCGTAATTAAATCGCCGCGCTTGCCGTCCCGGTGCTCCCGACTTCTGGAGCAAAAGAAGAGAGAGAAAGAGAGAGAGAGGGCAAAAGAGCGAGAAGTGTCAACTTCAAATGACGGGAAACATGGGTACTACGCAGAATTTCAAGCATCACTAGGTTTTCCCTTTTGAAAAGATTTAGAAAGTTAAAATTCGCATGCGCTCACCTTTAGAAGCGATCGGACATTTCCATCTTCATGAATCCGCTGATAAGTGGAGTTTCCTGGTCTGTACGAGCCCGGATCAAGAAGACTGTTGATAGCGTCCAAGGATCCCAGAACCTGAAAAAAGTTTCCCTTTCGGCTCATTTATTCTCCTGAATCGGACGAGTTTTTTGACTTTTGAGACCTTATGATGTGAATAATTGTTTCCCTTCTTCATTATGCACAACACAATGGTCTTCTCTTTCGAAAAGCGGACGGGAGGAGAAGAGAAGATCAGAAATTACAACGCAAAAGAATTTAATGTGGGGTATCGAGGTGTTGCCAATTCGTTTTATTTGATTGGACGCATCGAGGGGGGTCACTAACCATTGATGAGCAAAGACTACACTCAATAAGAATGTTGGCAGACAATAGTCGAGTTTTGCCTCCCGAGGGTTCCCGTGAACTGTTTGTCGAGATTTACGTACATTTACAAGTGTCGAATGCAATAAGGGTATCTTTTTGAGCGAGCGTCTTGCTAGACTACTTGTAGTTTAGTCCGCCACTTTACTTTTTTTAAACAAAAACCATTTGCTGCTCACCTTGTAGGCTCCTGACAGATCTTTGTTGGCAGGTTGCTCGGTCGCCTCGTTCGTGGTCGATTCGCCGCGCTGACAGCAGTCTCCACCTGACAATTTGCGAATTTCAGCGGAATATTCGTCGTAGAAATAGATGCCGGAATGATGTTTCATAGCGGAATATTGCGGTTTTACCTGGCGAGGATCCGTCAACGAATGCGGTTTGAGATGAGCCGAGCCGGGGAGTCGTCTCGTCAAACCTGCCACTATTGACGGCCGACAACACATTGCTCTGGAAATTTTGAAAAGGTGTTGGCACTTTCTGTCGCAAGGCATCAGCTGATCAAGTTCCTGTCTCACGCACGACGGAAACCGCAAAATTCGCATAGAGATTCAAAGAAAGCGACAATTTCTGAGCGGATCTTCACGTAACATGAGAGAAGTGTACAGACGGGGTGACACCTTGATACTTCGGGTTAACCTGTTCCCGTTCTTCAGTCGTACCTTCAACTTTCTGGACTCGTTATATCTCCTCATGTGCTCGATGACTTCGTTCATGTGCTTCCGGCTCGCCATGTGCTCCTTATCTCTGATCCATTCATGGTTGAGTGCCTGCAAAGAAAAGTTCTCTTCTCAATTTGTTGACTTCAGTGAGTGAGGCAAAAACAGCATGAAACCCTTCTTTGGTTTATCGTTTCGGATTAGGAGCCGAACGAAATACAATTTCTTGTGCAAGTAGGCGCTGCGCTCAACAAAAGCCGACTTTGCATTCATTAGTCGTTCCTTTTAGCGGCGGTGTGTCCATCTCTCTTGTTTTTCGAAAACAATCATTTCGATTTGCGAACCCAATCAAGTTGAGTTAAACGGATGAGTTTCTGCGGCAGGGACCGATGTCTCACGTCACAGATCCCACAAACTGATTAGTTTCTCCCACTCTTGAACTAACAAACAAAGCAGGGAGTGTCAGTCATTTACAACGGATATCAAGTGATGAAAACGACACCTCACCTCTTTGGCACTGATTCTCTTCGCGGGGTCGGCGGACAACATTCGGCGGACGAGATTTCGTGCACTCTCGGAGATATTTGGCATGTAGCTGTCAACCTGAAACGGAAAAGAATGAGAAAAGAAATACGATAATATGCTGACGTCAACGTCGCCCTCCATGATCCTCGTGTAGATGTCGGAAGTGGTGCCGCTGAAAGGTAATCGGCCGGCCAAGAGCAAGAAGAGGACGACACCGGAAGACCAGATATCCGACGAGCACGACACTCGATCCTTTTTCACAATCTCCGGAGCCATGAATTGAGGTACTCCGACACGACCTAAAGTTCAAAAAAGTATATATATTTAATGGTAACTGGATCTGAATGTTGAGAGTTACCAGAAGCAACGGATCCTCCACACTCTGACAGATCTTTGGCTACACTGAATCCGCAAAGTTTCATTGGGGCCGATGTATCCTTTCTTAAAAATATGTTTATCTCTATTTTACTCAAAATCTATAAAACTTACGTGGCTAATACCAAATTATGGGGTCGAACATCTCTATGAACAATCTTTTTACTATGACAATACTCTAGAGCGTCTAGAAGTTGTTTTGTATAATGACTGAAATGGAAAATTCGATTGTTGCGACGTTTTCACAAGTTTTCAATACAAACCTGACTACATACTCGGAAAACACAAAGCCGTTGCTTGCTCTTTGAACAATCTCAAAGCAAATGTCATTTCCTTCCAGGTTCTCAAAGATCATATGCCGATAGTTCATGCTATTGATGGTCTTTTCCAGTCGACAAATGTACGGGTGTTGCAGGTTTTGACATATTCTGATTTCCTCGTCAATTTCTGGAATGATCGAATCGATATATCGGATGGTCAAAGTCCAGGTTTCAGGTTGACACATGAGAATTGGGAGATTGATTGATGAATTGGCATCACATGGGCTCTAGGAGAACTTTGCGGACATTTTCTCGTCACCTATTTCCCATCAACATGCGAGGGATCCATCCCAACTCACCTTCTGGTCCTAATCCGGTGTGCTTCTTGAACAGATTCAAGCTGATCGACCTCAAAATGAACCTTCGATTCGATGCTCCATGAACTATGCGATACACGTTTGAAAATGGGCCTCTGAAAATTGTAAATCACATTTAATGTACGCATAAATTCCCAAACTGACTGTTCTATAACATCCCGGATAGACAACTGGTTATCGAAAAGAAGGTTTGACTCGTCCGGGTCAAGTTCCTTCATTGTGTGATCTGAAAAATGGGTTTGAGGAGCGAATTGGCAGAGAAGCAAATCAGGGGAACGAGATTAAGATGTGAGTGATTATGCAAGGAAAACAGTGCGTTCAAAGGATACAGAGGAAAGAGAGGGAGACTAGACTGCTGCCGTTTTCGTTTTTTCGCGCACTTCGGCTCCGCACTGCGCGTTTTCTCTAGCCGATTTGATTCGATCGAGATATAATGTCAATATAGATTGCAAGAGAGATTCATGTTTTATCAGTGACATTCCATTCGAAACATTTGTGCAAGAGTGGGTACTTGTCTGCCGTTTTCATCATGTTGCGACCAGAGGTTGAATCGAGTTAACTGGGTAAAGTGGAGGGAAAAATGTAGCAGAATCAAATGATCGGCAATTTATTAGCACCAGGGCCCGGCAATTTTGCAGAAACCAGGGCTTTAAAGGGGTACTAAATTAATATGCGTAAAATTGCACATTATGCACATTTTTGCAAATTTTGCGCAGAAGAACAGAGTATTTGGGCTATTCAAAAAAAAACTTACTAACCCTCTAGGTCAGTTTATTTCCAAAGTTAATAATCCGATTGGTCTGAAACTAGGACCCAACCTACATCTATCCAAGTTCAAGAAGCTTGAAAAGTTTCGGATTATTGAAAATGGGTTAAAAGTTCAGGTTCAGGATTCATAACCAGTTTTGGTTATCATGTAGACATGAAAAGTTCTAAGCAGATTCTAGTGCAACAGTTTTCTTGAAAGAATCACGAATTCCATGTTGTATTATAAAAAATAGTGATCTAGAACTAGATTCTCAAGTTTTTTTGAAATTTGAGAAAACTGTATCCTGAACAAAGTTTGAAAAGTTCAAGTACATCAGAATTTGGCAAGATTGTTCGTCAAAAAAAGAAAAAGGAAACGAGGCATAAAAAGACGTTCGGAATTCGTCTCCCAGTCGAAACGATCCAGGCGGAACGACAGAGACGATGAGAAAAAGTTTGATTGGGGCACAGGAAATAGAAATCAGGACAAATATGGAAGGAGACAATTCAATGCGTCTGTGCGTCTCTGAATGGGCGAGTATTTGTCATTTGGCAAACATTTCCGAATGTGGCGGAATGGTATGCTATTCATTTATTTACGGGCTTAGGCAAGTTACATCCAGACTTGAAACTGTCATTTTCTCACTTTCAGTTTCTCATTTCACGTTAATACTGTGAAATTCAATTAGTCAACACGCACAGTTGTGTATATGTACAAAATCCATGAGGAAAACGAGATGAGGATAGAAAAATGAGGAGCAAAGGGAGAACCGAATTTAATTAGAGAGATGAAGACATAAATGAAGAAATAACGAGTGAGAAGAAAAACGAGAGATGGATACATGTTATTACATTCTTTTTCCACAGATTTACGAGTCAGGAATACGCATAGAAGCAGAAATTTATGACAAAAAGAGGAAAAAGTGAAGGAAGAGCAGGAGGAGGAGAGGAGAAGAGTGGACGGACGCAAAGAAACGTGTCTATCTCTATTCTCCCCTGGCACAGTTTTATGAGTCGCGGGTGGGGTGAGTTCTCAAGATAAACACGAAGAACACCTGTTTCTATGAGATAGCATAGCATAGAAAAACAATCATTCGGTTCGGATTTTCTTTGCTCACAATCAGAACCGACCGCGCCAAAAAAGTTTGGATTGGCGAGCGGGAAGGGTCTTCACGCAAAAAGGAGCAGAAAAGACGAAAACGAGTGGTGGGGGAGAAGATGGGCAGAAGAAGATGAAGGCGTGAGAATATTCGGAGAAAAATCTCGGGAGGAGAAGCGACAAAACGGAGATAATAGGTCACGGAGTGAGAAGTAGTGAAAAGAGCAGTTGACTAGGGACAAAGAGCTGCAAAAAAGACGGGCAAGGACCACAGATATCGGCCATAAACACGCAGGGGAAAACAAAACATCTGAATTATGCTTATGCATTTGTGTGTGTGTGTCTGTGACACTTTTTTTCGAAAAAAAGGGTCGCCAGAGGCTCAGAGCTCTCCAGACAGCTTCGCATTTTTTCAGTATGTGCAGCCGGAAAACATACACATATTGGTTTGGTTTTGAAGAGGTGAGACACCTCGTTTTATGTGTGCAAGTTTTGGAAAAACTTTTTTCCATTTCTTCTTCTCTTTTCTTCGTGTGCATTTCCATATACATTTCCAGTAGCTCTGCGTTATGCGCAATAGATCTTTCAAAGAACAAACGGAAATTTGAATTTGAATTCGAATTCGAGAATTCGAAAATTTCAATTCGTTTGACGATTTCGCTCTTTTCGTGACCAGTCTAAAGTGATTGCGTTTAGAGAAAAAAAAACGAGGACTTTGAACTTTTTTCTCACAAAAAACGCAACCGACACGAAATGTTTTGTGCCGTTTTGTCTTTTGCTAAAGTAGGAGAAGTAAAAAAAGAAGAAGAAGAGACACTCATTTCCGATGCTTAATAGGGGCCAAGAGAGGGGCTGTTGAGGGTGCACAGGAACCTGAAAGTCAGTACATCCCTTCCTTGTAATCTTGAGCTGAAGGGTTCCTACCCCTGCGCCATTCAAATGTACATCCGTCAGGAGTGTGTGTTCTGCATATGCCTATTTATCTCCTACTCGAAAAAGTGGAGCACACCTTTTTTTGAACGAAATCTGATTACGAGCGGAATGTTCACATTTGAAAATGGCTGACTTTGTCCTAAAAATTAAGAGGAAGGTGCGTTTGCTAGGAAAATGCTGAAAATGAATGAAAAACCGGTGGCAGCGTCACGCCACGAATAAGCTCAGATCGAAATCAAATTGGAGAGCCCAAAACAAAATGGGTGGCTCTCTGACTGACTGGCCACGTCCCCGCCTGCTCGCCGTCGGAATCCGCCCGTTTTCCGCGTCTTCTATTCTCGCACTGAATGGGTAATGAGCGGGGAATTAGATGTAGCCGTAGGGGGGAAACGAAGAAAAGACAAGAAAACGAGGCCGGGCGCGAAAATGAATTAAGTGACACACTTGAATTTCGAATGATCATCACGTCGTCTAACCAAATTAGTTTGGGTGGTATCTGGAAAACAATGAGAAATATGCGAGGACAGAAGGAAAAAGGAAACAAAATGATGCTGTCTTCGTTTCGCTGTTCGTCGGGGAAAGAAAACCCGAAGAAGAAGAAGGAGCTCATTTATTTTGACGCTTCTTCAGCAATTTTTCATTTTCCTCTTTTGTCCTTCTTTTCTCAAGCTATTGCGACGAAAAATTTGTAAAGATCACCTCACTACACATTCCACAGCAGTAAAAAATAAAATGACAACTAGGAAGAGATTTTGCGGAATGAGCTGCAAAGTGGCATCGGCGGCCGGAGAGCGTGCAGATCCATCGCATCCGACCGGATGGACCACCACATTTCCGATCGATCAATGCCGGTCGTATTGACAAGAAAAACGGGGGGCGCTGGGGGAGAGCAACACCAGTCGAGAAGCGAAAGATTCATGAATTACACATTGGATTTGAAGACATCGGATAGAATAACAATCAAAAGGTTTTGTAACATTTTGAAGTGAGTGGGTCGTCACCCTCGGCTAGCAGGAGGCGAAAAGTGAAACTGATGTTCTTATCAGTTTTTACGCGTTCTTGTTGATTCAGGCCGGAGAAACAAGACAGAAAATAAGCTCATTTCCATCTTGCAAAGTAATAAGTACCCTCCGCTCGGCAGCATGCTCAAATCGGGGGTGACTAGCGCGGTACTACCAGGGCCCGACCAACAAGTGCATAAATAATGGTCATAAAACAAAAAGTGAGAGTCATAAACGAGCTTCGGATGCAGTCCCCGGGTCCCCTTTTTGCCCCGGGACGGATGGACGAACAAAGCTGACGGAATCGTAACGAGAAATTCGGACTGACTGACGGGTGACGCGTGGAAAATGGGTGGAACGGATGAGCCGCTCCTGAGAAAATTGGCACACACCGTCGTCAAATGAATCTATTCTATTCCGGAAGGAATGAAAGCCTTATATTTTGCGGGACTTTTCCGACTGTCTTTTTGATTTTTTCCAAGGATCTTTCGTCGATTTGATGTCTGATCTGTGAACTGATTTCGTTGTTTTTTGTGTCCATCAGACCAGTCATCTCACCTCAGATCTCTTTCCAAAAGTGATGCAAAGACAAGTTGATAACAAAACGTTCATCTCTCTTCACGGAAAGACAGAAACTACAACACACTTGAAAATAGGAAAGTTTGATGCCAGTCCGTATTACACCCGCCGTGGCACGTTCAGTTCGTCGCAAAATCCAATAAGAAATCGACCACTTCGGGGTCCCGCTCGCCCTTCCTTTCGTCTCGTTTCCTGCTCTAGAGTACTAGGGAGAAGGAGAAGGACCATGAAATATGATAGGTCGTGTCGAAACTTGCCGCCCATCCATTTTCTCGCACAAGAAGGCACTGCCTGCTGCTCGCTTCCAATCTGTCTTGTCATGTTACTACATCATGAGACCACTGATAAGATGTTTTTGTGTGCTAACTGGTGTTAAACTCAAGGGTTCCAGTGAAAAAGTGAACGAAACATTCTCACAAAAAAAGGTGTAAGAGGTAGCCAAAAACGAATCCCTGCTGTGAAATAAGAGACGTCTAAATTGAAGATAGATTTCTTCTCAAACGAAACGACAAAAGAGCTGTCAAGGATAGCGCCTCACAGACGGACAATAGACTATTATGGGAGCCGTTGATTGATGGCACCGGCAGGGCACTTGTACACAAGATATTGTGGGTGTAAAAAAGAAAAAAGTGGCCGAGAAGGGCGTTGGAATTAATAATAAGAAATGAGTGGTGGTGCCAAAAAGCGGCGGATGAGCGTGTGTCAAGATAAAAGAATCTACGTGTTTTGTACCCTCTTCAACTTCTTTTTACTGGTTTTTAATGAAAATTTCTTCTTTTTTCAGGAAAAAGTATCTCTATTTAGGTTGATATACACTTCCTTTGTCCGGGTGGGCTTGTGTAACAATGTGTAAACATCC